GAGGCGTCCCTGTGCCCATTGGTGTGGCCGTTTGTGCCGGCGGGGACTGGAGAGTCGTAGGAGAGCATTTCTTCAAGTATTTGTATATATCTTTTTCTCTAAGTCCCCTGATCGTAGAAGCAATCGCTCGCTATCTCTCTTCCGGCCGGAAAAGGCAGAAGAAAACCGGAAGCAAACAAAATAAGGATGCCGTTACAGGTGCGTCACACAAGGGACTATAGGTCTTCAGCCGAAGGGGAGTAATGTCATACAGGGTGACGTTGTGAAGGGTTGTTATGCATGGATGGAAGCGCGTTGAACTTTAAAGGCGATCTAGGAAGCAAAAGGGAAGGTGAGGAGGAACGAGCGTGTTCTTAAGCAAACGGCAGACACGCAAACGTCATGGGAACGGGCAGATGGGAGGGCCGAGGCGGGCAGAGGTGTGCGGTCTCTCCAGCTAATATATTAATTTCCATGTATAAGTCGAGCCTGACCAGGGGGCCACGCCACCCGCCGGCGATGACCATGGGGACCTCCTCCGGGGGACAGCAAGCAGAGCAGCTAGTGGTCCCGGGTCCGTGAAGCCGCTGCTTGTGGTAAAAGGGAAAAAAAAACTGGCATGTATCCATTCCGGGAAATTGGTGCCTCCTGGTACAAAATGGATCTTGGTCGGGCCTTCGGGGCGACTAACAAGAGGGACTAGGAGGGTATCCTCACAGCTACGTAAGAGGTGTCGGTCTAAATTATCCCCACCCCGTCCCTGCTTACCGACTTCTCCTGGGAGGAGGCCATCGTTGCATGGGCTCTCTCTGGATACAGCAGCCCGGGGAAAAGCCAGCCGAACCGAAAACGAATCAAGGCGGCCGTCCCACCAGCGATCCCAAGGTCGCGACCACAAGCGGGGCGGCGGTGAGGTGCTGTTTCTAGGCACCATGGAACTCAATTGCAGGACACTTTTGTTGGAGCCGTGGACGGGCCCGGGCGAGTCATAGCCAGTGCATTTGCTCATGGCTCAGCAGAGAAGTGACTGGCCAGCGCGCCACACAGCTGGCGGAGCCTCATGTGACCCTTCTGGACACACAGCTCACCAAATCCTGCCTTTGGGCTGGCTGCCCAAAGTACAAGAAAAGGGAAATTTTCCCAATGTGTTTCCATTCGCACGCCGTCGGCTCGGTTAGGTTCCACTCTGCTGGGACATGGGCGTGTGACTCGGTATATTACATAGCATCACACCCTCAAGCCCGGCCCCAAATAGCTCTGCTTGCTGTGGAACATTCTACCCAAAACCTCATACGGGTCCCAGGACTTCCCTTCCGAGTTTGACCGCTCCATGACCATTGACTGTTTCATTTCTGGGTGGAACGGGATGGGATAAGAAGCTGGGGTCAACCATCGACATTGTGATCAGCTGACCCAGCAAAGGCTGCCCAGTCTCCAATCCACCCACCCCAGCGCTGACACCCACCGCAGGCATGAACCAGGGGCCGTGGAACCACAGGAACAGAGCCTGTGTTTTCGAAGGCTTTGTTAAACCATGCATGGCTTTCGCCGGCCAGGGGGAGGTCCTTGGCTGGGCCCGACCCGATGGCTCAAATACTGCCGTTCGCCACCATTCTCTGCCTCGTATCGCGAGAGGTGTACTTCTCTGTGCTCTTCTAGAAGCTCACCCCGCAACCCGACCCCCACGCGCGCTCGTGGGGGGGGAAGGGCCGGGTGCTATAAGGCTTGGGGAGGCCAAAGGGCTTCACCATCCCGGCGGGCGTGGTTGACGACGGTATAACCCAGATCTTTCGATCTCGAAACTGCATGGGTTGCCCTGCCCTCGTACAATTGCAGTATGGGATATCCGCCTTCCCTCGAAGCTGTGGGCTCACGGCGGAAGAGCCGCAGCAACAGGTACCCGGAATCTGCGCTGGTTCAGTTCCAGGAGTGTCCCGGCGGGTTTAGCCCAAAGGGGAACTTTATGGCCAACCTCCCCGGAATCTCCGATAATCGGATCGCCGCCAGTTGCCCAGACTTTCGGGTCCAGGCCTGGTCTTCTCCGATGCAATCATGGACCGGACAAAACGGAACGGAAATCAGCAGCGTCGGCTTTGGCCTGACTATCACCCCCAACGCGGCTTTATCATGCAGCCAGCGTGCATCTAGTGCCGGCCGGTTGCTGGTTCTCACGTCGCCGCCCTTTTCCTCAAGAGTAGTACTTGGCGACGGCACTGGTTCGGCATAGGTGCGGCCCACGAGGTCATGTTGCACTGGTGCTGACCATTGTGTCGTATATGTATATGTATCCGACACAAGGATACGTCCGCCTATAAGAATGAGCTGGGCGCATTCAGTGCAACTCACTGTATCATTTTCCCCTCATCCCCCGCAACCCAACCTACCATCGTGCCTCATTCTCTGCACGGCATGGTCTAGGTTAGGTGCTTCATTCCATCTTCCGGCAGCTGCTCACGGCAGGTGTCCAGTATCCTGGACTTTTTTCTTCTGGGTGGTATGATGGGGACTTCTCGCTTAATCTCGCAGAGGTGATAGAATGCCATGGAATTCGTGATTTTGTACAGGATATGTGAACATTTTCATTGTCGCGTGACATCGCGCTGTGTGATTGATCAGTTTGGGGTGGCAGACCGTGGCAACTTGTCGGCGGCTCCCGGCCGGCTTCATATCTTCCTCTGGCCAAACCTGCATTTTCCCCTTGAATTTTTAATCCATACTTGTATGTAGCGAAACATGATTAATGCGATGTGCCGGGTATGCTCTGGCCAGCGCATCGGCACATGTTGGCTGTTAGAACGACAATGTGCCGGTTGTTGTTACATGCAACAACCACGGAGACAGTCATCGGTAATTCTTCATGCCGAGTATTGCCTATATTCATTTGTAATCTTGAGGACCACCACATGATAGAGAGTACCTGCAGCAGGCTGATCGAATTCGGACAGAGCCATGCAAGCCGGTGCAGCCCCAGGGTAGTTTCCGGGGTTGTGACGGGGTTTGTTTGCTGCAAGCAAGCATTGTAACCTCTTTCTAATTTCCTTCGGCTTTTTTTCTCTAAACTGGTTATCATGTACACTTGTGTATAAATGACTGGGATTATCTACGTTACTGAATTGAATATACAGAATTCTTGAAAGGGAAATTATTAGTCTAATAGGGTTTCTCATTGTAATCGAGATGTTTCCGTAAGTCTTGGTATGTTAATGTAGCTTGAGCATGGGTTTCAAATCGAAGGACCGCGTAACTAATTTTTTTTCTATAATTGTATTGAGATGGTGTAGTATGAGTTTTTTAGTAGTTTTGTTTACCAAATCCCCCCTTTCTCGCCATTTTATATAGCAGACTGAGTTGGGAGACGCGGACACGAGCACTTATATATAATATGCTAACGAAAAGGACTCGCTCGATACTTCTGAGAAGAGGTTTCGTAAGACACATGGACACAAGGGCCTGATTAATGGTTGAGATCATGTCTAATCAGATAGTTCATACGGTTGAGAGCTGGAAGGATCATTCAATGGCATAGAATTAGACTTGCAGTAGATATTTAACCGCATTACATGGATGGTCATCTAACGCACTAAGTATGTACACTGACTGTTAACCGATCCATCCAATACCTCTTAGTGGGTCCTGACTCATTACCCAAGAACGTTACTAGTCTTGCCCCTACTGTATATTGTCTGGATTTTGGCTTTTTGTAAAATCAAAGAAAGTAGTTCAAGAGCGTCCAATCTAGAGCCTTGTGAGCATTTTTATGTGGATACGCTGATGGCATCGAGGGGTTTCATTGGCATGAATGTTGACCATTGTCTTGTTTACTGCCCTAAGGGAAGATCTTACTCACGGTTCCATACCACATTTGGGTAGCTGCAAGATGGAAACCGAACGTAAACGAGCCAGAGCTTCCCGAATGAGCACAGCTGTAGTTCTGCGGGGAGGCATTTGACTGGATTGAGTCTTCATACTGTGCGTATTTCTGTCTTACATGCCCAATTTTCTTCCGGATGTGTTGGCCTGACCTCATTGTTATGAACCTTGACAACATAGAGGTGCAAAGGGAAGAAAAAAAGAAAAAGAAAACAAGTAGAATGGAGAACCGGGTTGAATATCGGGTCGTCTATTCTGATCATCGCCTCGAGCAAAACTGGGAGGATCTAATCTAGGATACGGGAAGCCAAAGTTTAATAAGGAGCTAGTAAGCCCAGCAAGTTCACTCCAAGTATAGAAATGAGGGGTTACGAAATATGTCTACGGCAACAAAATGGCCATGATCTCGAGGGTGGTAGGCAAGAGTAGGCAGTAGACACTGACAGCGGCATTAGCAGAAAGATACAGAAACCAAGAAGAAGCCAAGCACCCATTGTAGCCTCACGAAGCCGCTCGCACTGGGCGAACGTCTGGTCTTGAATCCTGAACCCTGAACCCCGCCATGATCCAAGCTCCCCACTAGCTACCCCTCACTTGTGTTGTCGTTCTCATGACAAAGGTACCCGAACCAGCCACTTGCGCAGGCGTCTCGGCCCCCAAGATGGCTATCATTTACGAGTAGGCCGCCTCTCCCTCACCGTACAATTGATGGCGCGATGTGTTGGTGTTAGGCAGGTACATTGGGTTGGCGTATACTTCAGTACATAGACTCGAAGCTCTGTCACCTCCCAACCGTGTTCTGGACGCTCCGGTGAAGCCCATCGCCATTTTCCCTCCGGACTGCTGGATCATGATGCCCGTCTCACCCTCGCCTGCTCGCGACGTGTCGTCATATGGCGGCAGGCCACACGTGCGCCTACTCAAAGCAGCAGGCTCAGGCGTGTTAGGCGTGTCAGCACTGGGGGCAGGCGCGCTCTCAGTGGCTGCACAGCGCTCCAGCCCCCACTAAATGGTGCGCTGGAGGTACCCAGGAGGAAGGTGTACTTGCCTAAAGCACTCCGCCTTACCTAAGGAGAGTTTTCTTACAAGCGAATGAATGCGTGTCAGTCTGCGGGCTCCCAAACGGCCTACAGATACCGTCCTACGGCCTCATGTCTCTCCTCCTGCAGCCCTCTCTTCTTCTCAGAAGACTGCCTCCCGCCCTGAGAACTGCAGCCCTTCGTCCTGCCAGTTTGCCGCGCCGATCCGTCCCCCGCTTCGCAAACAGTCTCACCCGCTATCAGAGATTTTCTGCGTCTGCCATCATGAACTCCCAGGAGCTTGTACACTACCTGGCTGACCAGCCACCCACCGTCGTCAGACTGGAGATTGAGAAGCACTTCGAGGCCCTCAACGACAAGCAGAAGCGTTATGCCCATTTCATCAGCAAGTAAGCCGTCGCAGCGTAGCTTAGTGCCCACTCGTCCTTCCAATTGGAGACTAACCCGAGCCGTAATTGTTAAAGGGCCTCATTTGCTGGCACCAGGATCGTCCTGCGGCAGCTGTCCCCAGAGTCTGAGCCCATCTATGACTTGATCATCTCCCTTCACAAGAGCTCCGGTGGTGATTGGGATGCTCTTGGCAAGAAGGCTGGCATTGACCAGTCTGAGCTGACCAGCTTCCTCGAGTATGCCGTCATGTTCCTGGGCAACTCTGGCAACTACAAGAGCTTTGGTGATTCCAAGTTTCTCCCTCGCTGCACCGAGAAGAGTGTGGCTGCTCTCGCTGCCACTTGCCCGGAAGCCTCCAAGTTCTATGCTGCTACCAAGGGTGCCATCTTCAGCGCCGAGACCCCAGCCTCGCTGCACCTGGGATTCCCTGATGCTGGCCACATGACAACCTACTATCCCGACTCTCCTGATATCACCAAGGCTGAGATCGAGGCTGTTTCTGCCTGGATGGAGAAGAAGGGCTTGCTTCCCGAGAACAACCGTCTACGGAAGAACAAGGATGGCAACTTTGACATTCTGATCGCCTCAGCAATCACCCAAGCCCCGGCTGAAGGAGGTGATATTGGCAAGGAGACCAAGTTCACTGTCGAGGATGGCCTGCTAAAAGACAAGACCATCAGCCTCGTGTACGGCGACTACGCCGACGAGATGAAGAACATCACTGCATACATCAAGCAGGCTGGTGCAAATGCAGACAACACCACTCAGGAGAAGATGCATGAGGCATACGCCAAGTCCTTCGAGACTGGTTCCCTGGAAGCATTCAAGGACAGCCAGCGCTACTGGATCAAGGACAAGGGCCCCATGGTGGAGAGTAACATTGGATTCATTGAAACCTACCGTGACCCGGCTGGTATCCGTGGTGAATGGGAGGGATTTGCTTCAATGGTCAACATGGAACGAACTCGAGCCTTCGGTGAGCTTGTGGCATCAGCACCTGCTCTCATCCCCCTTCTGCCATGGGAGAAGGAGTTCGAGAAGGACAAATTCCTGTCACCTGACTTCACTTCTTTGGAAGTTTTGACCTTTGGAGGATCTGGTATTCCCGCTGGAATCAACATTCCTAACTACGATGACATTCGCCAAACGGAAGGTTTCAAGAATGTATCACTTGGCAACGTCCTCAGTGCCAAGGCCCCTAACGAGAAGATCCCTTTCATTCGCGACGAGGATCTAGAAGTTTACAGGAAATACCGCGACGCCTCGTTCGAAGTCCAAGTTGGTCTTCATGAATTGACAGGACATGGATGCGGCAAGCTTCTCCAAGAAACATCTCCCGGAGTCTTCAACTTCGATAAGGAGAACCCTCCTGTTAGCCCAGTGACCGGAAAGCTCATCACCACATGGTACAAGCCTGGCCAGACTTGGGGATCTGTTTTCGGCAGCATCGCTGCTTCGTACGAGGAATGCCGTGCTGAGCTGGTCGCTATGCATCTCAGCTGCGAGTTCTCTGCGCTCAAGATTTTCGGTTTTGGTGATGGATCTATAAATATGGACGGCGAGGCTGGAGATGTCCTTTACGCCTCATACCTCTCCATGGCTCGAGCCGGCCTTGCCTCTCTGGAGATGTGGGATCCCAAGAGCCAGAAGTGGGGACAGGCACACAGCCAGGCTCGCTTCTCTATTCTAAAGTGCTTCCTTGAGGCTGGTGACGACTTCTGCAAGCTCGACTACACGGCTGAGGATCTCTCTGATCTGACCATCAAGTTGGACCGGTCCAAGATTCTTACAGCTGGTCGCGATGGTGAGCTAAACCCCAACTTGTAACTACCTTCTATTTAATTTGACGCTAACGATTCATAGCCGTCGGCAAGTACCTGCAGAAGCTGCACATCTACAAGTCCACGGCCGATGTGGAGACTGGTAACAAGTTCTACGTCGACATGACCACCGTCGGTCTGGACTTCTGGGGAACCAAGGTTCGTGACATTGTGCTAAAGAACAAGCAGCCCCGCAAGGTTTTCGTCCAAGCCAACACCACTCTGGACGAGGCATCCGGAAAGGTATCAATCAAGCACTACGAGGCTTCCCTGGCAGGCATGGTCCAAAGTTGGGTGGATCGAAACTTGTAAAATTATTAGAGCGTTGCCCTATTAGCCATGTAGAACACAAAATAAATCATAAACGCATGAATGATCAGTTTTTTATCCTTTTAAAACAATTGTGCCTTGGCTCCAGTCCAAGGGAAAGGTAAATTGGAAAGTGCTCAGGGATCCAATGACAAGTGGCTATCATCACACCATAGGACTGAAGCAGTATACCAAAAAAAGACTTGGACGCCGACACCACAGCTTCCCGCGGGAAGCCCAAGAAATGTGTTCATGATCGTTTTGTTTTTTGACTGTAAAACCTGATTACAGACGCCAAATGTGACCGATGCCGTCGACTTCCAAATGCAATTGGCCTAACTAGCCCATTTCGGAGACCCTGCCCATTCTACAACACCGTCGTTGCCGCCCCCATTTTCCTTTCCCCCACGCCTACAGCGAAGCAGAAATTGCCTACCACGACATCTCGTGGGGCTTGTCACCCTGTCGCAGGCTGAAAGAGCTAGCGAGGTAGCTGGGGAGAAGCTCGATCTTCTTGATGCTGGCGATGAGGGGCTTGTCGATAGCCTTCTGGTCGGCAGCGCGGCTGCTGGTGACTTCCTTCTTCTGCATCGGGGGGAAAATTTCACGTTAGCTGACCTTTCTTTTTTTTCAATTTTACGTCCGAAAACCTCAATTCTAGCGTACCTTGGGTTCCTCTCCCTGCTTGAAGAAAGCCTCCTCACCGGCCTTCTGCTGGGCCTTCTCGGCGGTGAAGTACTTGGGCTGGGCGACCTCGTCGACCTTCTTGAGGTCAAGACCGCTGACGTCGACCTTGTAAGAGGTGGCGATCACGTATCGGGAGTTGACTCTTCGGAGAGGGACGCCGTTGATCTTGAAGGGGCCGGTGACGAGGAGAACACCCTGGTCGAGAGCCTTCAGGAGGACGACACGCTTGCCGCGGAAGCGGCCGGCGAGGAGGATCAGGACGGTACCGGGCTGGAGGGACTTGCGAGGGGCCCAGGCACGGACGGCCTTGCGAACCTATTGTGACCACAACTGTTAATATGTTTTCTTTCTTGTGGGTGTGTGGTGAAGTTGTGCCATCTTGATGCCGGTATTCCTGTCTTCCTCAGTTGTCTTTGTTGCATTGAAGTCGTCGTCGATGCATGTTGGTGTTGGTGGCCTTTTTTGATATCAAAGAATTTTGTCTTGTGAAAACCGCGGACCACATGTCCCGTCATCGATTCCCAATTCAATGCGCAACCCATTGCCCCTTCCTTCATGCTTCCTCTCGCAGTAATGATGGCATCAAGATGGCATATAGGGAAAACACATGTCGCTTCCGACTCACCAGCTTCTTCTCGGCATCAGCTTCGGCAGGATACCACTTCTTGGCCTTCTCCGTCGAGGCGGGGACCGCCCGGGTCGACTTGCCAAACGTCTTGTTCTGAGGCTTCGCCGACATTGTGACTGTCTCTCGGGGCGTTAGTGGTCGAATTGGGGGGAGGGATGTGAAGAAAGGAAGCGTTTGGTGATAGCAGTCGCCCGAAATGTTGGGAATTGTTTGTGAACGCCGCTAGCGAGTTGTGTGGGATCAAAATGTGAACCCTCTGGCGCTAAGCCGCTTCTAGAATAGGTACGTACTCCGATTTTCGACCGCCCACCACAACATGGGGCTATACGCACGTGATGAATTTGTTTTGTCTTCTTATCCTTATCAGCGATAAGATAGGACTGGACCGAGAGTGCCGGAAGATGCGAGAAGTTGCGCCGAGGGCGGCGGCCATGACGCTTCTGGTGGTATGACGGCAGGGCCTCGTTGATTCTAGACCCGCAACGGCGAATGGTCTTGGATATATCTACGAGTTCAATCGACCAGCTGGGGCCTGCGATGACTTGAACCTGTATTCGTTCAATTTTCTTTTGTTTTATTTGCCCCCAAGAGACACGGCATTTTATAATTAATCAATCCTACTTTCATTTTCCATTCGTTCACACACCATGCAAGCAAGACGACATCTGATAACCACGGCCCGGCGAGTTGGAGCTGGTGCCTCGACCAGAACCCTGCGACCAATTACCCGCGCAGCGACCTGCCAGGCTCTGGGCCCGGCAATTGTGCACCTGAGACCGCTCCCAAGCATCGCCATCCGAACCTATGCCAATGGCCGAGGCCCTCATCCGCCGGGTGGCACGCATCGTATGAACATGGGAGGAGGGGAGGAGGAGAAGCCTGCTCTGGAACAGTTTGGCATTGACCTCACAGCCCGGGCCAAGGATGGGAAGCTCGACCCCGTCATTGGACGAGACTCGGAGATCCAGCGAACAATACAGATCCTGTCTCGGAGGACGAAGAACAACCCTGTCCTGATCGGCAATGCTGGCACGGGAAAGACGGCCATCCTCGAGGGCCTCGCTCTGCGGATCGTGCGCGGTGACGTTCCAGAGAGCATCAAGAACAAGAGGGTGATCAGCCTGGATCTGGGCTCCCTCATCGCGGGGGCCAAGTTCCGCGGCGATTTCGAGGAGAGGCTGAAGAAGGTGCTGGACGAAGTACAAAAGGCTGAGGGCGAGGTCATCCTGTTCATCGACGAGCTGCACATCCTGCTCGGGCTGGGGAAGGCGGAGGGGTCGATCGACGCCTCCAACCTCCTCAAGCCGGCGCTAGCCCGTGGCGAGCTCCAGTGCTGCGGCGCCACCACACTCGCCGAGTATCGGCTCATCGAGAAGGATGTCGCGCTGGCCCGGCGGTTCCAGCCCATCCTTGTCAACGAGCCCTCTGTGGAGGATACCATAAGCATCCTACGTGGTATCAAGGACAAGTACGAGGTGCACCATGGTGTTCGCATCACCGACGGCGCTCTCGTGGCTGCCTCCACGCTCTCGAACCGCTACATCACTGACCGATTTCTTCCTGATAAGGCCATCGACCTTATGGACGAGGCTGCCAGTCACCTGAAGTTGCAGCATGAGTCCAAGCCAGAAGATATCATGCGTCTTGACCACAAGATCATGACTATCCAGATTGAACTCGAGAGTTTGAGGAAAGAGAAGGACGTCGCCAGCAAGGAGCGAAAGGAGAAACTCGAGGCCGATCTCAAGAAGTACCACGAGGAGATCTCAGAGCTCAATGCTCGCTGGGATAGGGAGAGGGCTGAGATCGAGTCTGTCAAGAAGGTCCAGGAAGATCTGGACAAGGCCAGGTTCGAGCTCGAGCAGGCTCAGCGAGAGGGACATTTCGCCAAGGCATCTGAGCTGAGGTTTGGAACTATCCCCGACCTTGAGAAGAAACTTCCTAAGGAGGGCGAACCTGTTTCAGCCCAGGGCGATGACGTCCTCATCCACGATTCTGTTACGGCAGATGACATTGCGAATGTCGTGTCCCGTATCACGGGCATTCCAGTGTCGAAACTCACATCCGGGCATATTGAGAAGCTCGTTCACATGGAAGACTCGCTTCGAGAGTCGGTGAAAGGCCAAGATGAAGCCATCAAGGCTGTTTCTAACGCCGTCAGACTCCAACGTGCGGGTCTCAGCGGAGAGAACCGTCCTCTGGCATCCTTCTTCTTCCTGGGACCAACCGGTGTCGGAAAGACGGAACTCTGCAAGAAGCTCGCCAACTTCCTGTTCTCCACGGAGTCAGCCGTGGTGCGTTTCGACATGTCAGAGTTCCAGGAGAAGCACACCATCTCCCGACTCATCGGCGCGCCCTCGGGCTACGTCGGCTACGAAGATGCTGGACAGCTGACCGAGGCGGTCCGCCGCAAGCCGTACGCTGTTCTACTCTTTGATGAGTTCGAGAAAGCTCACCGAGACATCTCTGCCCTGCTGCTGCAGGTTCTCGACGAGGGCTACCTCACCGATGCTCAGGGCCACAAGGTCGACTTCAGAAATACAATCATCGTTCTCACGTCCAACCTGGGTGCAGACATCCTTGTCGGCCACAACCCCCTCCACCCGTACAAGGAGACTGAACAGGGCGACATCGACCCCTCGGTCCGAAACGCCGTCATGGACGTCGTCTCAAACTCCTACCCACCAGAATTCCTGAACCGCATCGACTCGTTCATCATCTTCAAGCGTCTCGCCAGGGATGCCATCCGCGACATTGTCGATATCCGGCTGAAGGAGCTGCAGCAGCGCCTGGATGACAAGCGCATCGCCCTCTTCGTGCCTGACGAGGTCAAGGACTGGCTCGCAGATCGCGGCTATGATCCCAAGTTTGGTGCTCGCCCGCTCAACCGTCTGATCACCAATGAGATTGCCAACGGCCTCGCCGATAGGATCATTAGGGGCCAGCTGCGGATGGGTGAGACGGCAGAGGTCAAGATCAGAGAAGACAATCAGGGTCTCGAGATCCTCGAGGCAGCCACAGCCACTTGAGGTCAATCATGATCAAACCCGACACGCTGAGAAGAAGAAACTACTCGAAAAACAAACCCCAAAAAACCTCTCCAGCTATGGCACGGGGTCATTTACGAACTGTTACTGATTTTAATGATAACCATGTACTATATCACATATCTCCAATTTGACCATCATAGTTTTCATCTCCAGATACCCATCTTAGTCAGATATACCATTAATTCGAACCAACATTATCAATAGTATCATCACCTGACTGCTGCCCAAACCTAAGTATGACTGTCAAATAATAAACATGGACACGATAATTTAAGCTTTCCATTGTAGACTCTAGGCGCCAATGAACAGTTGGCTTGAGCTCAAAGCCGCATGTATCGTTTGGGCCAAAGAAAAGCGTGCCGTGAGTGGCATACAACGCGCCTCGGACTGCTGCAGCAAGACCGGCAGGGCCACAGCTATGAACATTTGCCGGCGCCAGAAAAGTATGTTTGCATACATACCTAGAAGAAAGAGTAACACCTAGGCACCTATGAACGAAAGTGTGATGGCTGTAAAACCACCTCGTCCAAGCTTCTTCGACAGTTTTCTTCTCTGCATTCCGCAAAGAAAAAGCAAACAGAGTCACTTGGTTTCAACAACCTGCCCTGGAGCATCCCATATCTCCTTCTTCCATCGTCTTGTACTCGGCATCTCCATCCTGGCCGATACGATGTCTCGACACCGTTCGGATTCAGATGCCACAATACGTGCTGGTAGTTCGCAGAGTACACCAATACCTCCAGAGAAATGTCGCAAAATCCTTGAGGAGCTCTCAAAACTCTCAGCCCAGATAGACCGTGCTTCCAAAAACATGTCTGAATCGTTCGACCAAGTGCTCGATGTGTTTAAAGGAGGCGCGGCCGCGAGAGACAATCGGCTGGCCATTTCGAGATCTGCTCGGTTTGTGCGACCATCTCACTTATCTTTTTTTTGTCTGTGTCGCTAATGATTTATCCCCAGGATCCAGAATGATGATACAAAGAGATTAAATCGAGAGCGGGTGCTCAAAGATCCATCGTTGCCCCTTTTGCCCCTGGTCGATATCAGGACAGGAAAAGAAATCACATCCTTCCCTCATGACTTAAAGGCTCTAAATGAGCTCGACGGCAAGTTCGATAGCAATACTATAATATCCAAGCCACCATATACTAATTTTTCGATTCTAGGACGAGAAATGCTTAGAATCATCGGAGCTCTCGATGTTGAAAAACTTGGGATCGATGATACCTCACTCCGAAAGACGCTCCGGCAGGCTATCATGTGATCCCTCCCGCGATCATGAAAGTAATAAATGGGCCAAAAGAATGGGATGGTAACCTGGGCGTTACAGTGGTTTACGTTAAATGTTTCCTCTCACTACTGAGATTCGTTACAATCACGGATAGTCTTGTACTTTCTCAGCCTCGACACGTTCAGCTGTCTGCTTCAGATAAGGATAGAGAATGGGATAAAGAAAACAGAAGCTTCAAGGATCTACTTAGAAAACCCGAGTCATGGAAAAATAAAAAAAAGATGATGAGGTGTTAATCGACTCCCCTGTGTACAAATTTTCAATTTTGATTCCCAGCTTCCCAAGACGCCCCAATGTCCTCCTTTGAGTCTTTCTTCCAAAACGCACGTAGTGCCCCTCAAAATCAAAACCCGGCCGGGGAGTCGCGCGAGGACGGACCCGGACGGATCTCACAACAGTAGCACTATAAGATGAAAAAGGAGGGCGCAGAGGCCGCGAGGGAAATAGCGACATGGATTATCAACTAATTTCGATTGGGATTTCCACGACATTGTAAATTACAACCGAAACTTCGTTACGGCAAGGTGGGGAGCACGTAGTAGAGAGAGCAGGAAGGTGGTGGTGTTGACTAGAATGCGATTTCTATTCGTCCCTCTACTGGTGGCCAGCCTTGCGGAGGGTGGTGGCGAGCCACTCGAGACCCTCGTACAGACCATCTCCAGAGGTGGCGCAGGTGGACTGGATGTACTGTTTGGGGGAGGAAAGTCAGCACAGTGGATACGAGAGCAGAATCTACAAGATTGCCGAGGCGACTTACCCAGGCACGTTGGCGCAGGCTGTGAAGGCCAAGCTTGTCTGTGATCTCGGCAGCGTTCATGGCGTTCTAAGAATGGCAGAGTTAGCATTTGCTAGACGAGAGAGCGCGCCAGGGGAGCGCTGCGTTGGGGTACTTACAGGAAGATCCTGCTTGTTGGCAAATACCAGGAGGATGGCATCCCGCAGCTCATCCTCGTTGAGCATGCGCTGGAGTTCCTCACGAGCCTCAACAATACGATCACGATCGTTGCTGTCGACAACGAAAATGATACCCTGGGTGTTCTGGAAGTAGTGCCTCCACAGAGGACGGATCTTGTCCTGACCACCGACATCCCAGACGGTGAACTGAATGTTCTTGTACTCGACAGTCTCGACGTTGAAGCCTGAAAAGACGCATGAGAAAAACGAAGCGATTCATTGATGAGCGGCCACACAGGCCAGGGAGAGCGAGGACATACCGATGGTGGGGATGGTGGTGACGATCTCACCAAGCTTGAGCTTGTAGAGGATGGTGGTTTTACCGGCAGCGTCGAGACCGACCATCAGGATTCGCATCTCCTTCTTCCCCCACAGCTTGTCGAAAATCTTTGAAAAGGCGAGACCCATGTTTGCGACTCTTGCGGCCGAGGCCTATTGCGATATGGAATAGGTAGGGCGGCGTAAGTTTGTCCTGAAGTGAGCCACGCGGTCAGTATTGGTGAGCGAGCGAGAGGAGGGCTTTTTTTCCCCTATCGAGCGTGTGGATTGCGAAAAGCAGGAGGTGAAAGCCAGTTGATGAGTGCAATTGATCTCGAGATTGGAATCGAGGCCCGCGTGGTGTGTCTTTATGTTGCCATGCGCCGACAGAGGACACATCGTCAAGACCAGCTGGGACCACTCTAGGCTGCTGCAAATCACGGGGGGCGTAGCGGGCGAAGTCGAGTCTCCTGTCCGCCCAATAACACGGCTGCCGGCGCAGGCATCGATAAAAGGAGCAAGCAGGGGAGAATGAAGGCGTGGTGGAACTTACTGTTCGTCAGAGAATCCTCAACGTGACACGGAGGATGACGATGGAGGCTATCGCGGGTTTTGACAGTCGGTGTGGATGCTGGATGGGAGGTCGGAGGGGTGAGAAAGGGTGCAGGCGTTGAATTTTGGGGCCGGGCAAAGGAGAGAGGAAAATGTTTAGCTCAGCAGGCGATGCTCACTGCACTTGCGCTGTGCCAGGGCGATGGTGAGGTCAGTCAAGCCTGGCTTCTTGTTTTGGGGGGACGACGCAGAGGAGGGGGGCATGGCTCTGCCGCTAATCACAGGCTGGCCCACTGGCGAGCTTGCCACAGGCTGGTAATTGGTACTTGCACTGCATGGTTCAGCAGGTCCACTCGCCCTACGAACCCCCTTATTGCAGCCACTGAGATTGTACATGCCACTCAAGACGTGCTTTTCGTAATCTTGATAAGAGGTACCAACAGCAACACGGACACGTTATCGCAGCAAGAAACAAAGCTGAGCCGATCCAAGTACACTCGAGGTATCCATCCACCGTCTGCACACCTCCACAGTACTTGCAGGGTACAGAGAAGGTGCAAGAGTGTCCTTTTCGACCGCAAGTACGTACCTCAAGCTCGACCACCATCTAACCCCTTGCTTGAGCGACGCCATACTGGGAATCGGATACCCGTTTCTCCTGACGCCGAGCCGCAACTGTCCCCAGAAACCTCCAAGGTGTCAATTCGAGGTCCCAGCATCAGGCAGCCTCCAAAACCTCTTGGACTAGGCCTCTCACACCACTCAGCCTCCCGGTTTCTTCTTCACTGCAGCCTGCGAGAAAAGAACAACAATGCATTTCCTGTCGGCGGCCAAGTCCCTGCTCCTGGGAGCTGTCGCCTTCCAGACAGCCGTCGCACACAACATCGCCCTGGGCTCCCACGGCGTTGAGTGCTTCCACGAGACTTTGCACAAGGATGACACCATGACAGTCACCTTCCTGGTGGGCGACCGGGAGTTTGGTTCAGCAGGCAACCTCGAAATCGACTTCTGGGTATGAGATGTCCAACATGTGTCCTGAACCCTTGGATATCTGCACGTGCATGGGTTGCTAACGAAGGGATCAACAGATTATCAACCCCGCGAACCAGTATGAGGTGAACGAGAAGTCCGTCACGTCTGGCGACCACTCCTTCACCGCCCAGCACGATGGCAAGTACGGATATTGCTTCGGCAACCAGCACTGGGGAGCCAACACCAAGGAGGTCTCCTTCAACGTCCACGGCATCGTCTACGTCAGCGAGTCCGACGCCCCGGCTGACCCATTGGAGAAGGAGGGTAAGTGACAAAGAACAGTCCAACGATCCATAACAATTCCTACTAACATGCAACCACCAGTCCGTCAACTGAGCGACCTCCTCGACCAGGTCAAGGATGAGCAGCAGTACATCGTCATTCGCGAGCGCACCCACCGCAACACTGCGGAGAGCACCAACGGCCGAGTCAAGTGGTGGAATCTTTTCGTCATCGGAATTGTCATTGGGGAGTCGCTGTTCCAGGTCTGGTGGCTGCGCCGCTTCTTCGAGGTCAAGCGTGTGGTATGATGAATTCTTTAGGGGAGGTCAAGGGAACCGAGGAACACCAAAAAAAATGCAGGCAACAAGGTGACTCTCGAAAGCGGTTTGTTTGCTGTTGTAAGAGAGATGTTGTTAGTTCTAGAGTTGGGTTTCAGCATATTGGCGCAAAAGGTAAAATCTCTGGGAATTGGTTGAAGCTGGCTGAACAAGCGTGAAACAGCCGATACATTTGTATCAATATAATGGATAAGCATATGTCGCCAACTCCTTAAGTTAAAACGCACAGAAGAAACCAAAGTATGTTATGATCGACCAAAGTGAGAGAATCCGCATAAGTGAAATACCCAGTAGTTACCAGCCACTCTAAGTTTAAGAGTCCATTTCTCATGAAGTGGAGGATGGTCGAGGTGCAGGTCAGGCCACGCATGGAGATTGGCCCAGCCGCTCAATTCTCAATGAGGACAAATATGGGTTAGGAGCAAGAACGATATGAATTAACTTAAAAAGTGGTTGAAGAGAATATTGCGTAAAGAGTCCAAGTTCAGAGTTACCAATTAGCCCTAATAAAGAAGTTTGCGAATTCATCCAAATGCTTCATTATCTCGCTCGAAAATGACAATATCCAACGCCTCTTGCCATCCCATGATGTGTGCCAATTATATACATGTATACGCCCGCCCGCTCGTCTAATTCGTCGTCATATCCAAACTACGCCCCGGGATCCAGAATATCATATTGACCTCCATCATCTTTCGCCTCCGTTTGGGGTGGTGCCTCTAAAGGAGCTTCAACCGGTATCTCAACCTCCTTAACAGGATGAAGGAGGACTGGAGGCAGACACATTCGTCCTTCACCTCCAGGCATCTCACCAACGGAACCACCGCTCTTCGTCTTGTCCTCTGTCAGTTCAAAGTCTTCTCCACCATCATTATTGACTTTGAGGCCTAGCCATCTTCTGTAAAGGTTTGGTGCAAATCCAGATCGATAAAACCAGGAAATCCCGTGCATGTTATGCTCTCTGTCGCCAAACATGCTTGCACGAGATCCACCACTAGTGCCATCACGCCCACCATTATAGACTTGGGACATATAGTCCAATGGCCACTTCCGGTCAACAAACATGGGGTGAGGTGCATATACTGCCTTGAGGCCGTGCTGGAGAGCAACTGTGGCAGGCCACATCTCAGGAAAGGCAAATTGCTTCTTATATGCAGTCATCTTGTGCATCAAGAGAAGCAGGCGACGCGACATTCTGGATGTGGTGATAATGTTAGCTCGACGAGGAGGCATCTCCGTTCGGTTATAACCAGTAATATCATCTCTCAGTCCCCAAGTCGTTCCCTCGGGATCAAACATAGGGCTAAGTGAGATGTAATCAGCCTCCTCGCCAACGCCCCATTCGAAGCGGTCCTTCTCTGGGCCACCGGCTGGTGGGATTGGGTCGTTTCCAGGCTCGAACCAGTCATTGTCATCGGCAGGTCGCAGAGGACCCCAGACCATCTTCCTTGGCTTCGAAGCCTTCTCAGAGTTATCAACACCTGGAACATCTTTCCACACATTGTCTGCACCAGCGGCTCCCATTTCGGTCTGGACTCGGCTCAACTGACTGAAATCATCCCATGAACCATGGACTTCAGGAAAATAGAATCTCGAGTTCCGCTCCCAGAGACCCTTTCGAGGTTGTGCCTTGGCGAATCGCTCAATCTTGGAAAATAGATCATAGTAATGGCCAATGTAGCGCACATCCAATTCCCATTGCCAGAAGTAGTCGTATTCGGGGTGCAGGTAGGCAAAGTATTGCATAGCCATGGACAGTCCTCGGTACACACCATGAACAGGCAGATCTGGACCTCGGGAGTAAAGATCATAGATACCTTGGTACAGTGACAACATTTGCGTCTCGGTCCAAAGAGTGACCAGTCCACGGAATTCTTCAGGAATTGTGTCTCTGATTCTCGCCTGGTAAGCTTCCTCGTCAGCCCAGATGGGGTGTCTTGCGTCATCCTTGATCTGGACCAGGAGATGAATATCATATCGGCCACCAGATGCCAAAGAAAGTTCAGAAATCATAGCTCGGATGGCTGCGATGTCGTCTTCCCTGTAGAAGTACTCGTCATAACCCCGGATGACAACAGCAGTCCTTGACTTCTTTACGGGTGGGATACGAATTACTTCATCGTCGGATTCAGTCTTATGCTCCTTGTCCTGGCCGCTTGGTTTGGGTTTCTCAGGTCCATCATCGGATTCGGTCTTGTGCTCCTTGTCCTGGCCACTTGGTTTGGGTTTCTCGGGTCCATCATCGGGAGCGTCTCGTTTATGAGCATTGGTCTTCTTCACCACAGCGTCATCGATATAAAATCCACGGCGTGTGGACACCTTTGCAGGCATGTCCTTGAAACGCTTTGCATTGGACCTGTAGCATCGCCGTTGGACATCAGCCCAGTCAATGGACTTGTAGTCCACACGAGGAGACGACTGCCAGATGGCAGCAGCGCCTTCCTTATCTCCGTTCTCACCAGTGCCCAGACCACCAGTATTGACGGAATATCCAAAGCCATAGGGACCAAATCTTCCATAGCGCTCAAAGCAGATATCTTCGGGCAAGTCTAGAACATCATATGACCCAGAGACATGGCGAGGGTAACCCTCGGGGCGGCCGTTGTAGAAGTGAACTTGAGGGACGCGAATCGTACCAGCAGCATCGAGGAAGCACTCTTCAACATCAGGCTCGTCGACCCTGCCTTTGTACTTGCTCCAAGGTTGGCTCTCGGGCTGTGAATATTCCTGCGAGTCTTGCGATTGAGAGTTGGGCTGGTGGTCGGATTCGGGGTACTCTGGTTTGCTGTTTTCCAGAGACTTCAAGCGACGAACACCACCGTAGTATCGCTCTATGAATGGGAACCGCTCCCACACAGGCGGAGGCGGCGGTCGGTTCTCTGTTTGGCCGTTTTCTACTTTCCAGTTCTCGACCTGGCTGGCTCTCATCAAGCTGAGGATTATGAGCATGAGGGTACCGAATAATGCGATACACAGGTACCGCGTCACCTTAGTCGGTAATCGATATGGGTACATGTTGGCAACGCGCGGTAGTCTGGGCTGCCGCCGCCTTGAGAGCATAGGCGTGGCGCTCGCATTGGAGCCTGAAGCGCTCGTTGACGAGCTCGACGACACATCTCGTCTGTGCGGTCGGTAGTCGTCGTCTGAGGAGTAGCCATCGTTGGAGTAGCGTTCTTTGGCTGGGGATGAGGACCTCTCGTAGACCGGCAAACGGTCTTCACGTTTGCGAAAGACGCCCATAGTGGCCGGCGGGCGGGTTTAAAACCCTGGTGATCCAAATTTGTCAGTCGATCGCTTATTTCGGGAAGGGTGCGATCTGAATGGAATGTTGCATACCAAGGATTTGGTCGTGGGCCGTCGTGATGTCTTGTGGAGTACGCGTGTCGGGAATGTGAGGTTGTTGACACAACCAAGTCAGATGTCTCGTCGAGGGGAGGCTGACGGCCGGCGCCAAGGATGAAGGGCGAGAACAAAGCTGCGGCCTTCGGATAATCGCGATATAGTCTCAAGAAATCAATGCTTGTTGAAGCGAGCGGTGGGATGATTGCAATTAATTGAAGGCTCTCAACTCTGACACAGGGGTGGAACCCCTGGAAAGAACAACTAATAAATTGTGGATATATTAGTAGGATTATTTTGAACTGCGACGTTGCGGAGCAACCACCTTCCTATTGTTGAATCAAGGTTATTTTAGCTAAGATTGCCTGTCATTGTGCCTGGCCAGGTACGACAGGTCTGTCTACCCTACACCAGGCTCCCATGACAACCGCCGTCTTGCTTTCTGCCCAATATATTGATACCATTTCTTGTGTGCAAATATAGAGGAGAGGGCTTATTGGTATCGTAAGTAGTGTCGTAAGTATATAGAAGCTATGAATTCGACGGTGCCTGTAAACCTTGCCAATTTTTTTCATGATTACGAGCCTTAGCCTTTCTCTTGACTACCTTCTCACAGCGTAGGAAAATTTAGATCACCAAGTGACCCAAAGCCTGTGCCATGACATGGAAAGAACAAGTAGCATCAACTTCCCCGCCTTATCACGAGAATGTCAGATCAACAGTACCCATCTCAACGGTAGAAGTTCAGACAGCCGAGACATCCTGGCCAGGAGGCTCCAGGTCTCAACGCATCTGGGGTGATGATACCCACACAAACTCCAGTTAAATGCGAACTAGACGGGGCTAGAACCTCAGGTGCAGACAGGGAACGGCTCTTCGAGCGATACAAAGATCTACGGTGAAGCGAAAGTAGATAATTACAACAAGGTCATGTTAACCCCTTGAGAGCATGCAAGCAGAAACGTAGATGCCAAGGCTATGATTAGCAGATATTGGGTTGCATCTGCCGCTGATGTGACCCACACTGGCGATTACCTTCATAAGTCCCGGCTTTCCAACGACCTTCTCATCAAATCGCACTGACGACGGCCGTTATCTATCGTCAGGACACGAAGAAGAATTACTACTCATTAGAAACATCAAATATATCCTACTCACTTATAAGATGAGCATTCGAAAATGAGAGTGTGGATCTCAAATGCTGTCATATGTTGGTCGCGTGCCAACCAGCCATGTTCTTCACTCCAATAACGCCCGCTTGGTCCGGGTTCTCATTTGGAAATGCAATTATGTGAAGCAAACAAGGTAATTGAACCTGAGGAGAGTAAAAAATGACATCAGAAGAGGCGAGAGCGACGGACTGCAGGAGACAATGGGAGGGGGAGATATCATTATATGCCTATCACGTGGGCAAGCCATTCTGACCACATACCTGATGCATCTCTCCCAGTTTCATCTCCGATTTAGGATAATGTTCGCACAATATGCTGTTTCCTCAATCTGCAGTGCCTGGCTGCACCCGGTTCTCGGCTCAGTCCCGTTGGTAGGTCTCACCGGAATATGGGACTCGCCTCGATGGCCGTGCTAGCGGTGCAGGGAGAATAGTCCTAGACTGACCGCCACACGACTTGTCCCTGTCCGGTATTGCAGATTTCATGCCCGACTGAGTCCCAACATAGAGCCGTGATAGGAGGGACGCAGCAGGAAAAGATCTTTGGTTGGCTGAGCACAGAAACTAGACTAATGCGAGCTAAAACCCCGGTGGCTGTTTACTCCGTTCACCGACCGCGATATGCTCAGCTGGTTACACCTCAAGCTCCTCATGACGTACCACGTATGTGGCACGGAAACCTTGCCCGGTCTCCCTCCCGTATTACCCCCCAGTTGCTGATTCGCTGGTCCGGCTGCATTCCTCAACGGGCTATACTTGATAAGGTGTTGTCAGCATTGCGTAGCTGCTGTGCTTCGTGGTCTGGAGCAGGAGTAAGTTTGGAATGACACCTCGCTTTGATCAGTCGCTTCATGCCGCCGCCGACATCGAAAGAGGGGGGAGGGGGTTGCACGATCTTAAAAAGGGAGGCTTTCGCCCAGACTGACCGGTTGGGGCCCGGCCATCTTGAACCAAAATCATCATCTCTGGGTCAAGACTCGCTGCCATGTCTGCCTCGACCACTACCACCACCACCACTGAGGTGAAGGACGACGGCAATGGTAGTCTGCCGATATCCGCACTCGCATTGCCCTCACCGGTCAACCTCACCCCGATGCCCAAGCAGCGCCCCGTGTGCATCACTCTAGATAGCCTGCGAATATTCATCTTGTCCATTTCTCTCATTAGCCTGGTGCACTTCTCAGATGCCCTGGTTGTCGAGGCCATCCTGGTGCTGGTGCCGTTCCTCCTCGTAGTGCACAATGACTACGAGAACTTCATCAGCCTCGGGCCCGGGGGGACACCGTCTACCCTCTGGGGCTACCTCCGAATCTCCTGGCTGCGGCTGTGGACGCTGCGTGACCCCTTTACCCCTCCAAAGCCTACCCCCAACTGCCTCCCATTGAAGGGCATCCTATCCAAACAGGCCCTCCCCTTTAGACTGGGACCAAAGCCTCTGGTCGTGGGCATCGCGCCCCAAAGGCAGATTGACCAGCCCGGCTCCCGCTACTGCTACCAAGCCCTCAGGAGGACGCTGGAGAAGCTCAGCCTCAAGAAGCCTGGCAAGTTTGGGACCGAGCGATCATGCATCGAGAAGCACGGGCTTGCCCTGTTCGCGAGACACCCCGTGCAGACGGCTTGCCAGGGAGAAATCTGCCACGTCCATGACTCGGACCACTCCATGCACATGTGCCTGCACCCTGACGATAGCAAGGAGGTTCTCTCAAGAGGATGGGGCCAGAGGCACCCCTTAGCCTGGAAGTGGTGGTTCCTCACCATGCCAGTTGCTACTGACTTTGTCATGATATATGCGCCACGAGGTAGGTTGATTTTTAGTAAATGCTCGATAGTCTACGTTGAATCTTGAAGTATTGACTGGTTTTGCAGATGATGATGAGCTTCGCACTGTTTGCAAGATCGTGGAGGCAGCCATTTGGTACTCAACCGCCGAAGAAACCGAAATTGATGTCTACTTGAATCAGGTAGGCAATTGAGGTCATTTCGACTAAAGCTCTCATCGGCCGTCCAAGTCCACCTCTTCTATGCATCACTGATCACAAACAGGCGTAAGGAATGTAGCTGAGAGTTTTGTTTTTTTCCTGTGCTTGTCATTTTTGTGTATAGAAAATACTCTTTCTAATATCAATCAAACTATTTCACAAAGTTTTTCTTTCTTTCTTCTTTCTCTTAGGGTATCAATATGCCTGCCTGGCGACGACCATGTTTTGTGGAAACGTGCGTGTGTGGATGCAGCAACTTACGAGTAGACATTAATCTTCATCCTCCTCATCTTCACCTTGCGTGTTCTTCGATTGCCTGAACTTTTCTCGCCCTGTCGCTAACGATGCCTGTACTACCCGGCCATCGAAGCTTCTCCCATGCATGAGACGGATGCAGCCCTGCGCGGACTCTGGGTCTTTGAACCTGACGGAGACAATGCCATCGGCCTCCTCGTCATAAAGAACAACGCTGGTCACTGTCCCTAGCTTGGCACATTCTTCTCGAATGTCTTCTTTGATCTCAAGCAGTGCGGCGGGGTCTTCCTCCAGCTCCTGCAGGGTAAACATGTGCCGCAGGATGACCGTCTTGTCCCGCTTGTTAGGGGCTTCTGTACGGGTTGGATACGGGTCATCGTCGTCCCAGTCGGCAAGTTTGGCGTCCAGCTTCTGGGTCCTCTTGATGATCTTTTGCCTGTCTCTATCCTTTTGCTGCCGTTGCTTATCACCTTGGACATTGTCGTTGCCCTTCTCACCTGCGGCTTGGTCGTGCTGGACTTTCTTGTAGCTCGAGTCAGCCACCTGAACTCGGATTCTGCCGTCCCGGGTACCATTGGATGTGATCCGGAAGTCTGTGTCGTCGAGTAGCATAATGGCCATCTCCACGCTCTGCGGCTTGAAGAAAACGACCAGAGCATCTCCCTTGAAGTTGCCTTCCGAGTCATTGTAGAGCTTGATACGTGGTGCGCCGCTGTCGATCTCTTCAGCGATGACGCCGGCCTTGCGCGAGAACACTTCATGGACCTCGTCGATGGTGACATCCAGCGGGAGGCCTGTTACATAGACGGCTGTGTTCTGTCTGGGCTGGGGTGGTGCCTTTTGCTTCTTATTGGGTCGAGCAGTCTTGAGCGCCTCGGACTGCGATCCCGGAAATATTAGCATCCTCATATCCTCGAATTGAGGAGAAGAGCAGCTGAGAAAGGGAGAAGAGTTGTTCCAGGGAGCAGGCGAATTCGCTGGTGATACGTCGCTTACCTCTGTACCGTTCTGAGAAGGGGTTTTCCTTTTTCTGGAAGTCGAGCTATCATCGTCTTCCACCTGCTCGTCGTACTCTGCTGGGACCCATCGCCTTAAATTTGCATCGAACTCGAATTCGGACCCGTCATCGTGAACGGCAATGAACTTATTGTCGAGCTTGGAGAAGGAAATTCGATCGTCGCTGTCGAATTCTGGTACTTCGGTAGGGAAAGGCAGCTCCATGATGCTCCTCGATGAAATAGAAAACAGCGAATAGAAGCAAATGGAGACGGGTGTGAAACGGTCGCGACGAGTTGGTGGTTTGGAGCTTACCAGTGTAGTGTGCCTGGGCAAAGTATGTGAACTTTAAGAATGGATCAGATGAGGGAGCACCAGTTACAGCCCACCGATGTCATGGTGGGGCCGCTGCAACCTGGTGCCTGCACGCGAATAAGCCAATAAAACACCAGGAATATAGATGGGTTGTGCCACAGGCTATGAAGGTATTAAGTAGTATTTTAGTCAAGGGTGCCATCAAATATTATGGCCTATTACTTCGTTCTTGACAGAGAATATGGTACTTCAGGAACTGGAAATTAATCAAAATAGAGGAGACTTAGGTAAGTTTCACACACTTGGTGCTGTTCTGGGTGTCTAGGCTGTCGTAAAGGGTCTCCTATTGCTTCCAATTTGGGCATCAGAACCCCCAAACCTGTGTTCACTGGTATAGTAGAACCATAAAGCTAGCTGCCCATTATTTCTTGTCCTTGACTGTCTTCTTAACACCTTCGACAAAGGCCTCCACGGCCTGCCCACCTCCTAAAGGCATTCCTCCACTGCTCAAGTATCCTCCATTCTCAACGTTGATGCCAAGAGCATCCGCAATGCTGGGCAACCCACCGTCCCGAAGAGCCTGGGTCAGTGTGCCAAGGGCCTGGTGGAATTGAGGACTCCTCAACACCTTTTTGAGCAGCGATTTCTTGGCTTCCAATGACAGCGATGCCTTTGCTTCCTCCACCGCTTGGGCTGAGGGATCGTTTTTCCCATCAAAAACATCAGGGTTGTTGCCTGCTAATACGATGACAGCGGGTGGTAGAAAGCTGAGGAACGTGTCAAGACGCTCAGGGGCATTTGCGGCTATCGCATCGATCACTGCGACGGTGATGGAAGTTGGGAGGAGGTGACTCAGATGGGGATACGGTTTGTCGATGCCTTGGGCTTGCTGACCTCCGGAGAGCCCTGGCTGGCCTCTGAGAGACTCCAAAAAGTTCCGAACTGCAGCAGAAGCATCGGTTGGAGCAGATGAGGAGGAAGGAGCTCTGGAATGGATTGTTAGCTAATGTACAGCCCCGAGTAGTTATCATAGTGAATCCGTCACACATCACAAATCGCCATACTCTTCCGCGCGGGAAATCTTTCATGATTGCTCTATTGGTTTATTTTGCCAACGCCCATTTAAGGTACAGCCATATTCGTGATGCATGGAAAATCACTTGGGTAGGGTAATCCACAAGTTGACCATTTAAAGGGAATCACCTACGCTCTAGCCCCATCGGCACCTCCTTCTCTCGAGTTTTCGCCTTCTTCTCTGACATCTCCGCCCGTTGCGCCAGGGCCTGCTCCACCGCTCCCAGTTCCACGGTGCTCGTGCTGATTGTGGTGGCCTTCGACATCCTCCATGGTCTCATCGTCGTCATCATCATCGTCATCAACATCCGGTCGGCGATCCGTGTTGTTGACCGAAGCTAGCTCATCGGTGACATCGACTTCCTCTCCTTGAAGCAGACGGTGAACAATATCACCGATCTTGCGGTCCCGTGGGCTCAAGTAGGTGGGGTCGTTATTCCGGGCCTGAGACTTCGACTGCAGCCAGAAAAGATATCTTTGCGAGGACGATGAGAACTTCAGAGAGTAAATGCGACCATTGGTCTTTGCTGCCGAGGGCTGCGGTGTTGACTTGGGATCGTAAGGGAGAAAGCTTCCATCAGTAGGAATCATGACGAGGTCGAGCTCCGGGTTCGTGGCTTCGTCGTCGCGCTTACGCCAGCAAAAGTGTACCAGATCTACGACCGATTAGCTTCAAAATGACCAGCTGAAGTTGTAGATTTGTAAGACCGACCGTCTTCCGAGTAGAGATAGACATATCCGGGCTCGGGGAGGGGCTTGGCTTTGTAGGGCCTACGTGATGTCTGTTGCACATAATATCAACATAAGAGGTCCCTTGCGTTTGCTGGGGATATGATTGTCAAACACGGATCACTTACGTCGAGCTCACATTGCCCAGCCTTGAACGTGATCAGTGGCTGAATCGACATGTTTTTGAGGCTTCAAGATTGCTGAATTCTCCTCTTTTGATCAATATAGCAGAAGACGGAAATTAGTGTTCGATAGGCTGCGATCTGTACTCGTAGACTCTGTTCTGTTCGCTGGGGGAGGTTGCAATAACGGTTTGAAGGGTCGATGATCTGGTTCCGCCCCAGGCTCCAGAAGCTCTTACGTTGTTGAGCTCTGACGCTATTGCTGATCTGGAAGGGACCTTGTCATCGAACCTAAAGCATGTGGGCGCCCAAACACGGAAAAGCATCGGACCGCGTGAGGGGGACCCCTCTTTGGACTTGTGCTTGGAGGAGTCAGAGGACCCTGCAAGGAAGGTGGTGTCCACTGCTGCCCAGTGGCGCAAGGAAATTAACAGTGTAAAAAATCTCTATACCCCACCTTGAACCATCGACCAGACAACCACGCTTCCTTTTTCTTCTCTTTCCCCCCCTTCAAAAGGCAGAATTTCCAAGACCTTTTCGCTCAACCTCCTCTTCATCTTCCTCAACTTTTCTCGTCAAGATGGGTTTCGCCGATCTTCTTACCGATGCTGGACTTGCCAGTACGTCGATGTTGACTTTGTTGTGCTTCTTTTCGACGCATCGCACACTGACCGTTTGATTCAGCGCTCAACAGCTGGGTGACCACCCGATCTTACATCGTTGGGTATGTTCAACTCTTTGCCATTACCACTCTCCTTCCTCTTATCCCTACTCGATTATATGATGAGACAAATTGGTCCGTGTTTCGGAGGCGGCCTCAAGACCCGCTACTTGACGAAGCAACAAGCACTCTGTGCATCTCTGACACCACTACTCGAATGAACCTTTTTCCTGTGCACCATAAGCCGCCTTGAACAACGGAAACTAACATGGTCACAATAGTCACTCTCCTTCCCAGGCTGATGTCGCCGTCTACAAGGCTCTTTCGTCTGCTCCTGACGCGGAGAAGTACCCCCACGCCGCCCGCTGGTACAGCCACGTTGCTACCTTCGAGAGCGAGTTCGCCACCCTCTCCGGCGATGCCTCCAAGCCTTACACCGTCTACGGCCCCGAGGTCGCCGAGGTGACCATCAACCCCGCCAAGGCCGAGGAGAAGGCTGAGGACGACGACGATGTCGACCTGTTCGGCAGCGACGACGAAGAGGAGGATGCCGAGGCTGCTCGCGTCCGTGAGGAGCGCCTCAAGGCCTACCACGAGAAGAAGGCCGCCAAGCCCAAGACCATTGCCAAGTCTGTCGTCACTCTTGACGTCAAGCCCTGGGGTAAGCCTCATAGATATTACCTGCAGCTCTTTCTGCTGAACGTGGCACTAACCCTGTTATAGATGATGAGACCGACATGGCTGCCCTTGAGGCCGCTGTTCGTGCTATTGAGCAGGACGGTCTGGTTTGGGGTGCCTCCAAGCTTGTCCCCGTTGGTTTCGGTGTCAGAAAGCTCCAGATCAACCTGGTCATCGAAGATGACAAGGTCATGGTGTCTGAACTCGAGGAGACGATCCAGGAGATCGAGGAATTCGTTCAGTCTACCGATGTCGCAGCCATGCAGAAGCTGTAAGGTATTGATCTGAAAAGGCATGGTACGCATTTATGAGGAATGATCGGATGGCAATGGATGGCTCTATGGTACTAGAGAAGTCATGTGGACACGATGTGTGGAAAAGGATCTCGCCATGAAAGTTGCAATCCTTCGATTTCCGACGTATAGAGATGAATGGCTTAAAAAAATACAACTATCACTCAATGCTGTCCACAATGGAACATGTCAAACAAAATAAGAAAAATAAAACTTAGAATTCAAGATGATACGACTCGACGTGACAAGGAGCCTCTGTAAAGGCATCTACGACCTTTAGTTCGGAGCGGCGTACTCGCCTCGTACCCTCTCATTAATTTTGTGTGGAGGCAAAGGAGGGGTAATTGGATTTTGGCGTAGTGGTGCAGGTTGTATGGTTTCATGCTTTATTGCATATTTGGCGGGGTAGGAGTGTTTGCGATAAGACGCGTGTTGATGAACGATAGCTTGAGTCCGTCCAGCAGAACCCACCTCAACATCCTGCCTCACGAACAAGAAAATAAGGAACGAGGATTATTTTGTGATGACTGCACGGCATGTACGGTGAGCAGGGCATTAAGTTGGTACGTGGTTTTCACCCCTCATATATATTTACTTGGTAAGATTAACACGCGATAATGCTTTAGGTTCAACATGCCAAGAGAACGCTGAATCTTTCGCATCTGCCCCCCTACCAGACCGAGACTGTTCGCGCCGTTACCCGGGAAGTCCGAGATCTTGATAAAGATGTCACCGAACTCTTAGAGCCGTTCCAGGGCTCATTCGATCCTTCCGCTGACCAGGCCGTCGCGTGCACGCTCCTCGTCAACCATCTGTCAATGCGACGAAACAAACGATGTTTGCTAGCATATCATAGAACTAGAACCGACAAGCTGGAAGAACTAGTCTGGAAGGGTGCTGATGTGGTTGACCTTTCCGGCCAGCAAGTTCGAGGGGACCCCAATGCGAAGGACACGCCGACGAGCAGTCTCAGTCCACAAGAGGAGGACTATGTGCGGCAGTACAGCGATCTTTTGGCGGCTTACAAGGGACAATGGACGGACATTGATCTCACGGGGAGCCTGGAACCTCCTCGTGATCTCTTCATCGATGTCCGCGTTCTCAAAGATGCTGGAGAGATCCAAACTGAATATGGGTAAGCACAAACTTTTGGCGAGGAAGGACTGAATGCCCGCGACCATGTGCTAATTGTCTGACCCTAGGGCGATCACTTTGACGAAAAACAGCCAATTCTATGTTCGACAAGGAGACGTGGAAAGACTCATTGCTCAAGGATACTTGCAGAAACTGAGCTGAGCAAGGTACCGTCCTACCTTCATATGCCTTTAGCTTTGAACGGACTAAAGCTGGTCTGGCCGTTTCATATATATAATAGAGCCTTCGCTCGAAAGGTCCAATAATCTTTGATGCACTGGGCGGGCAAATGTTAATTCATCGCGTTGTCACGGGCTGGCTGGATGCTGGATAGAGAGCTCCCCAGCCATGACTTTATGATATCTCACTTAGTGGTACTAGGATTGGCTCTCGACGAAAAATGAATAGAATGCCTGCCACTACATCTCTTCTGATATCATGGGGAATCTTGCTGTCGGAAACCATTATGTATCAGCATTACGTCTCTTGCTAGCTAGCTCGTGCTAAGAGCTGCAGATTGGCACGACTATTGGTACTGATAAGCTATGATATGTGCAAAGATTTCTCAGGGATTGCAAAATTTCTCACAGATGGAGTAATTTTGGGCAGAAATGATACTGATTGAACCGTTACTGGCTATTGGGTTCTAGATGCTGATCTGTGCTGGGATGTGGCTTATGTAACCTCGCCTGGACGGAGCGCATTGGAGGAGTTCTGTCACAATGATGGCATCTTGCATTGAGCGGCTGCCGGGTGCATGCCGCAATCGCCTAGAGCTGCAAACGCATGTGAGTAAGTACATGTACTTATCTTAGCCGCACCAGACCGGTAGCATTTATGGCGGGGTGAGGAAGCAATGGCATCCAACAGCTCTGTCGCGCTCTGCCCATTGAAACATGGTTTGAACACCACCTTTATGTAGTGCTACCGTGGGATGGCAGACGTTTATGCCTCCAGTGACAGCTTGGAGGGGACCCCCGGTATCGCTTGAATTGGGCCTCCTGTCCGAGCTCGTCTCTGCTGTTGCCACCAAACGCCCAGGTAAGGCCACAATAGAGTTCACGTCGGCATTTGACCCATCCGATTTGCTACGGTGATTGCGCTGCCCTGCAAGACAGAAGTGAATTTAACCCGTTAGTTCATGCATCCAAACCTGCTCAGGACTCGTTTCCCCACGGCCTGGTTCGTCGACGATCCCGGCCATTCCTCGTTTGCGCCTCCATATATCCTGCCCGGCCGCCAGGATGAATCAATTCATCAGCGGCATGCAATCTATACCCGCTCTCTAGCTTGCCATCGCCTCCCAAGCAAAACCAATTCGACAAACGAGTGGGTCCGTTGGATCTCTTATCTCGACTGGAATCGGGATCGATATTAGTCGACACTACGCCCATACTATCATCGTGTAGTCAGGCCTAGCGACAGCGCGCACCGTCCTCCATGCGACGCTCAGTTGGATAATACCTGGTTGTCAACCGCCTCTGACACGGACAAGGCCTGGTTCGCCAGAATCAATTCCCAGCAAATGTCCTCTCCTCTGACAAGCTTCTCTCCCTGGAGAGCTCGACGAGCCTCCAGCGCGTCCACAGCGACCGACCCGAACCATCACCACCAGCCATTCGATACATCCAGCGCCATAAATGCCCCCTCCGATGCTCCGTTTGCATCCTCATTTAGGTTATCCTCCTCGATAGGATCTGGGCCTGGTCAAAGGGAGCCTGTGCGATCCTTCATCCATGGCTCTGTACGGGAAAATTTAGGTGTGTCCCATACATTTTCTGCATTCGTACTCGCCTCTAGTTGTCTTTAACGGCTAATGATCTGAAACTTTGCAGCACCTATCGATAGCGCCCAGATTGCGCGGACTGTTCGACAAGATACCGCAGAGCTTGCTAGTTACTATCTCTCCGGTGGCCAAAGCAAAAGAAGCCCGTCTTTCTTGCACCGATCCCTTTTCGAACCCCCCGAAGACGAGAGCGCCGAAACAAGTACACATGATTCGAATGCGATTCCTGAAGTCTCGGAGCCGCCGTCACCTGAGGACAACGATGGTGATCATTCGTCAGAAGGTCCATCTGCATTAGCTAATTTGCTCCGAAAGTCACCTCCCCAGTCATTGGCGCCAGAGGGTGTATCGACTATACAACCAAGTGACCGGACTGTGCGGGAAACCGAAAACGACGGCGAGATCTCGGAAGCTTCTCTTCCACGGACTCGACGCCAACCGAGTGTTACAGGGAATGAGACGGAACGTACACCCTTATTGAGACGTCAAACTACTGGAGGGACGCATCAAGTTGACGTTGAGGGTCAGACGAACCAAACTGGTGGGAGCTGGCTCCGCAAACTCTTTGGTTCGACGACTGGCCCAACGCCAACGACAGCGCAAGGTTATGTGGAGGTCGAAAGCAAGTCCTCCTTTTCTTGGAAGAGCATTGCACAGCATGCTGTTATTGCGCCAGCTTCATGCCTTCCGGCGGTCTGTGTAGGCCTTCTCTTGAATATTTTGGATGCCTTGTCTTATGGTGAGAGGAAACCCTTTTGGTCAACTCATGGAAAAGAAATATCAATGTGCTAACAACCATGTCCAGGTATGGTGCTTTTCCCTCTCGGAAAGGCCATCTTTTCACAATTGGGCTCTGCTGGGATTTCCATCTTCTATGTCAGCACAATCGTGTCCCAGATTACATTCTCCTCTGGGAGCATATTCAGAGGCGCTGTGGGCTCCGAATTGGTATGATATGCATGCTCATCTAGGGTGCTTGAGACATTATGCTAATGTTCGATTTGCTTTGCAATTGACTAGATTGAGGTCGTTCCCTTTTTCCACAACATGGCGCAAAAGATCACGGATGTTGTTGGGTCTGATGACCCTGACGCGGTCATCGCAACGACCATCACAGCTTATTGTCTGAGTTCAATGATGACCGGTCTGGTCTTCTTTCTCATTGGACAGTTCAAATTCGGCTTTATGGTTGGCTTCATCCCCCGACACATCCTCATCGGTTGCATCGGAGGTGTTGGCTGGTTTTTGCTCGCAACTGGATTTGAAGTCTCTGCTCGGCTGGAAGGCAGCGTCCAATATAATTTGGATACCCTCCACCGCCTGTTTCAAGCTGATACGGTTCTGCTGTGGCTATTCCCCTTAACTTTGGCCATCATACTGTTCTGTTGCCAGACAAGAGGGGTTTCCAAGTACTTTTTACCCATTTACATCCTCTCCATCCCGATGATTTTCTACTTCTTCGTTGGTTCTCTCGATGCATTGGACATCGACGCACTGCGGGACGACGGCTGGATCTTCGAGGGCCCGCCGTCGGGAGAACCCTGGTGGTATTTCTATACTTTATTCAGTAAGTGCTCATGCTAAGATGACCTTGCAGAATTCTGTAAGCTAACTAGAACGATAGAGTTTCACCTGATACGTTGGGATGCGCTGGCGGAGACTGTTCCAGCTATGCTGGCCCTGACATTCTTCGGCATTCTGCACGTACCAATCAATGTGCCTGCTCTGGCTCTCCAGACTGGAGAAGACAATGCTGACTTGGATACCGAGCTGAAGCTTCACGGCTACTCGAACTTCATATCTGGATGCCTGGGTGGTATTCAAAACTACCTCGTCTATTCCAATACCGTCTTCTTCATGCGCTCAGGCGGTGACAGCAGGCTCGCTGGGTATATGCTTGCGGCACTCACGTTTGGCGTCATGGTGATAGGTCCGTCCCTGATTGGGTTCATCCCAGTGATGATGGTGGGGACGCTGATCTTCGATCTTGGGTTTGAACTGCTCATCGAAGCCGTGTGGCTACCACGAAAGAAGATGAAGCTCTCTGAATATCTGACCGTAATTGTCATTGTTCTGGTCATGGGTATCCATGATTTTGTCGTTGGTATTGGTGTGGGAATTCTACTCGCCTTCGTCACAATGATTGTGCAAACCTCGAGGGTTTCTGCAATACGAGGTTCCTATACTGGGGACATCGTCACCTCTACTGTCCGACGCAATCCTTCGCAGCATCATTATCTAAAAAATGTCGGAGGGCAGATCTACATCATGAAGCTGACCGGTTATCTTTTCTTTGGAACTATTGTCAGTGTTGAGGACAAGATCCGGGCCTTGTTGGATAATAATGCCTTTGCTAAGAAGCCTATAAAGTTTCTCATTCTGGACCTTTGGCATGTTACCGGCCTTGATTATTCCGCTGGTGAGGTGTTTAATACGATCAGCCGCCTGCTGAACAAGAAGGATGTTGTTTTTGTCTTGAGTGGCGTTGATGCCGATGGCCAACTGGGGAGGAATTTACGAGCCGTGGGGCTTGGGGCGAATGACATCGAAGTGCTGATGCTGCTCGACCTCAACTCTGCGCTGGAAAGCTGCGAGAACGAGCTTTTGAAGACTCTATATGCCAGACAAGAGGAGATGAACTCATCCAAGAGGGTCGCGACGGCGAGTCTGGATGTCCCCGAAGGGAAGAAACCAAAGTCATCGTCCCTGTCGTCTTTTAACCCGCCATTCAATTCTCCACGCAGGACGCATCTGGCCGAGGCGGCGAGCGATGCTCTTCAGAGTCTCGAAGTGCAGCGACCAAAGAAGTGGCAGAGCTTTAAGGAACCGCTCAGACTTATGATGCAAATCTTCCAGGGGCTGAGCGACAAGAACGAGGATGTCTGGTTTGCCGCCACAAATTACTTCAGGAGAAGAGAGTACCCGGCTGGGACTGTGCTTTTCCGGCGAGGAGAACAGGCGGATGGGTTCTACCTGGTGGAACGCGGCATCTTGCGAGTCGAATATGATCTACCCCAGGGCTGGTTATGCGAGAGCATCATGGCGGGCACCACATGTGGCGAACTGCCGTTCTTCTCAGAGACGGAAAGGACGGCGACGGCAACAGTCGAACAAGACTGCGTTGTCTGGCTGATGGATAGGGACTACTGGGATCAGGTCCAGCGCGAGCAGCCCGAGGTGGCGAGAGAGTTGTTGACGGTTTCCCTCAAGTTGACGAGCGAGCGCATGAGTGCCATCACATCGTACACCATGACCATAGCGGGATGAGTCACGCATTTTCCGAATTAGTTGAGCCTAGTTCGCATGTTCGTTGTTTGCATATTTAAAGTCAAGCTTAACATGGGCAGCTTTTTGCCTGCTGTTGTTGCACATAGTATCTTGGAGTTGGCATTGGCGCAAATCATCTGGCGGATTGACATGTGAGCAGAATAGTATGGATATCATTGGTAGATTGAAATATTTAATCATTTCCTGAGGTTGGAATCCGCTTGTATTTGAATTGATGTCGTAATTGATATCGAATGTAGATTGCCTTGCGAGGCAGCAATGCGAGTCAGACCGTCTCATTTAGTCAGCAAGGGCGCTCTTGACTTTTCACATTCTTCAACTGTTTAGCTGTGTTGCATGTGTAGATCCTCATTCGCCAGAGTTCTGCCTCTCTCTTTTTTAACAGAACATTGTTATTGGAGGTTTCATTGTTTTGTGGGTTGAGTTTGGTATCCGGGCAGTCAACTGATCTTGCGTTCTGGATATGAAATTCGCCACTCAGATAACGGAGACTAATTGAAGAAGACTACCTTCTTAATTTTCACATGACCCTCTCAAAAGTCATTCATTCATTCATTCTGTACATACGATAGAGCAAGCATCTCCACATCATATTTAGAGAAATGCCCCAGAGCATCCGCTCCATTCTCGGTAAATCAAACCGAGTCCGCAAGCCCTCACGCCCAGCGTCCCCAGCCAAGCGCGGCTCTGGGACATCATCACCGTCGCCGCGCAAGCGGGCGACACCAAACAGAGACGGGGCCAGGAAGAAGAAGGAAGAGGAAGAGGACTACTTCCAGGACCGGCTCGACGACAATGGCTTCGCGCAGCTCCTGGCGGACGAGCTGACGCTCCGAGACGTGGTGCAGGCCATGCGGTACATCCGCTCCAGGATGTTCACCCCCGTGCCCGAGAGAGGGTTCAGCTCGACGCGGACGGCGGAGCTGCACACGTTCAGGGCGTCCATGCCGCCGATAGTCACCATGGGTCACCTCAACGCCATCCTGAGCAGCAACCCCACGAGGGTGGAGCGGGAGGCCGTCGAGCTTCAGCACAGAGGCGTCCTTCGAAGAGTCCGTATCGAGAGACGGGGCGGGCAGGGCGAGGGGCTGATGGAGACGCCGGAGCTGGAGAAGCTGCTCCTCGGCACCGACGGCGTGTCGCCCGAGACCAAAAAGACGTTCATCGAGTTCCTCAGGGCGAATCCTACTGTGCAGCAGCTGCCTGGTGATACCTTGACGGATGGCCAGACGGACGAACTCATCAGAGCCGGGTTCCTGACTAGTTTCGCGCATGCCGACCCTAGCAGCCGGTTGAACATGCGACCCGAGGAGCGGACGACGCTCGTGTCTATTGATCATGTATCCCGTCATGCATCGGGTAGTGTATCTGCGGTTGGGGGTCACAACGCTATCCATCTCTCGGGCGGAGGAAGCGGCGCCATGGCACTGTCACGAACGCCGTCATCCTATTCATCCTCGTCGCTCTTGCACGAGCTGAAACTGGCGATTCCGGGCCATGGGCGGCACTTGAAGCTGGCCTCGGCTTGTGTAGACTGGGTGCGTGAGGCTTTGGGGCGGACGCGATGGGGGGAGTGCCCGGAGAGTTGGCTCAAGGAGCGGTTTGAAGGAGGCGGTCTATACGGGCCGCGGTGGAAAGACTTTTGGGGTGTAGAATGGGACTGGGTATTGGGTGAAGCTGTAGGCTTGGGCGCAGTGGAGATATTCAAGACTGGAACTGTAGGGCGAGGTGTTAGAGCTTTGGGTTGATTAGTTGGCAGACTTGTGAAACTGTATGCCGGATGAATTGGACTGGGACTACGGATCGAAAGAGCAATACCGGGGCTCCCACGCTGAACTCGTGGTCACTAAGACTTCTGGCTAAGATGCTGGAAGTTCTGTTTTTTGCGGCTTTGCTATGGTGAGCAGAGTCGTTTAAGCTGTGGACGGTCCTCCCAAGGCAAGGCTGAGACCACATGTACGATGGAGGACTGGCTAAATGTTGCATATAGAAGTTCGGAATAAGCAGGTACTCCCGAATAGAGAGTCATGTCCAAATTAGATCACCGTTCAACATGGAATATGGGTAGTCCAGGCTTACTCGACCTACTTTTGGTGTGCCATGAGACATAGGGAACCTGAGGGATGCTTACCCGATCACTTTTTCAAAACACTGGCACTTCTAAAACCTGCCTTGTTAGAGTCAGCACTGGTGCTAATGATTTCACAAGGTTAACCTTGCGTCTTCAGTCGTTGAATCAGCTTCAGCATCCTTAGCTGGCCTCGACAATCGAAGTCGGGATGCTGTGGGAGCAACTGACATCATCATCGGATGTGGTATCGATAGCAGATGAATACTAAGAAGCCTGCTCCGAGGTGAAGAGCCAAGGTGGACCTATAGCCACCTTGAGCATGACTCTAAGCATCCGTAGCAGAGAGGAGCATATACCTTCCCTCATTGTGCATACTGCCCACATCCGAAGCCCGGCATAGGCACTGCTGGCCTTGATGCATAAATTGCATATGCTGGAACACCGATGGTATGCCCGGCTGCATGATTCCCCATGTACATCACTTTATCGTCGTATCTAAGCAGGTTGGCAGGCCAGATAAAAACATAAGAAAATAATATCGGGCGACCACAATCGTGGGGGTTTAGCTTGGGCATGCACGGCCGTACTTCCCACCGGGACAGGGTCGTGTTAAATTGGACCAATGGTTTTCATTGTCACACTTGCTGCTGCACAGGCCATCTCGCTGTGACGTGAAGGATGGGAAAAAAAAGTGTAAGCGAGCAAAGGCTGTTCCGGACACCACCTTGTCAATTCGTGGGGACTTGATCCTTGGTCCTGGAAGCTAAGACCCTGGCCCCTTGGTGAACTAATTAATTTATACATGGGCTTGATGGGAAACGTGAGGGAGAAGATAGCACCCTACTTTTTCCCTCGCCGGGTCTAACGGTCCAAGGCGGGGTTGATCAGCTTTTCTCCTCCCTCATTTGAAAGGCGGGCTGCTGGTTGGCTTTGGGTGGTTCAGTGGCGTGGCTTGACAGGCAGGTGAAACAAAACTGTTGGAGTAATTAGCGTCCACGAGGGCGACGAAAAAGAAAACATGGCTTTGGGCTGGCCTTGACATCCATGTCGGTACGATTTACCACCTCCCCCGGCCTATCATGTGCTATTACGAGGGTACCTGCTTCCCCACCACTCAGACATGTACAAAGACGGCATGTACTGGCCAATGGACACTGGTCTTGTGCATGGCATGTGGTGATGAAAGTACGAGGTGCACAGTGGATGGAGGGAGGGCACCATTGGCAGGAGAGCGCTTGGATGGCCCTTGCCGTTGGTTGGCACAGCACTTCCCCTGTCGAACCAGAGGCTAAGCAGTTATCGCAACGCGTGCGCTGCTCCTTCTTCGTCGGCCAGACCCCAGGAAAGGGCCATCGTTGGCTGATTCTTCAGTTGCCCGAATGCATGTACGTGCCTGCTGCATTCTCTTCCGAGCTGAGGACGTAGTTGGCCCCCAATTTCATCATCGTCGACATCGGCATCTGACTTGCCACAGCGCCGATGACCGAAAAGATTGTCGGGCATCTATAAGCTGTGAGAGCCCGAGAGGACCGCCACCCACCTGGCTGAGGCCGACGAGACAATGATGGCAGCATAAACGCAGCGAGAGCCTTTACCTATCGATATAAAATTTGAGTTTTCAGGGTCGCGAGATAAATTACTAGAAAAACAAACCTTGCACCTCTGGACCTGATTTTGCTAACTCTTCCGAGCAATTGGCCCTGAGCTCCCGCCCCTCCCAGGATGGCAAAGCCTACAGGCTAGTCCCTGGTTTGTGGTAGAGTTCACAATGAACTCCACAGCGGTTGCTCCTATCCCCCCCCTCTTCGATCATAGCGCGCACTTGCTTCCCCATATGTTGCGTGGAACCTAGCGCTGCAACCTCATTAATTCCGCCGTGTTGTCTGCTCTGTGCTACCTGGGCCCAAGATGTAAATGATCCATGGCCAAAGCCTACCAGGTATTGGGACCTCCTAATATAAGAAGACCCTCTGGTACATACCTTGCCGGTACCCTCTCCTGCCCAGGGACTGTATAATGATCTTGGCTGGATGAAGAAGTGACAGGTTCATAGCAACTGCCCTTGCCGTAATTGATTGTTATGAATGGACCCTGAATCTGATGAGTACTGGTAGCGTAGTACTATGCCCAGCGAGAGATCTGCATATGGTCAAGGGATGGCAAAACAAGTATTGTGTCGCATCTTCCCTGGCCTCTTGTTCGCTCGAGTGTACGCCTCCAGAGTCTCGACCCAAGGGACTGTCATCCAGTGCTCTGGGACGACTAGAAAGCCCCGTCGTCCCTGGGTTGTCTCTGCATGCCGGGGATCCTTCGACGGCAATAGCGATTAGTGCCATCTCTAGTTGACCCAGTTGCACAAAGGAGGTGCGCCAGGCCTGCATATCGTAATTACCGCTGGTAATTACCCCCCCGGTGACATCTCAGTGAAGGTCCCATCGCTGGGTGGGGAGTCGAGGCACCTCGAGGCGTGCTCCTCAGTCAATCAAGTGCCCTCCTTCCGCTAAAGGGTTTGGGGCCACCGTGCGGCGCTCGACCGGCCCAGGGAACGTAATTAGGCCTGGCAGCAGGCTGGATGACAGCTAGAGGCACCTAATTCTTGGCCTCCCGTTCACTACTGGACTGATCTGGACGAGCGCCCAAGCGTCATCGGGTGCGTAGATCATGGGTCGATGAGCCTGCGCCAGCCTCCCAACTTCCATCGTGGACCTCCTTTTCCACCATCTCTCTACCTCCCAATCATTCGCTGTAGGGAGCGCCGCAGTTCGGATCACTGCAAGTTTCACTTTGTCTCGGGTTTCCCTTTCTAATGCTTCTACTTTTTTTTATCCCCAGTACACAACTAATCCAGAAATTCTCGCATTCGAGGTGCCAAGTGTCGATTGAGGTGTTGTCAGCGGGTCACGAATCGCCATCGGTACAACACCAATTGCCCCTCTCGACTTGCATTGATTGATTCGCGGCATGAGGCAATGCACGTCGTCTCGGGCCTTCTTGACACCGTCGTAGAGGACATCCTTTTTTCAGTTTCCACAAGCCCGTCCCTTTCGATTTCGAGACACGCAGGAGGTGCAAGGGCGCTTTTGATCCAACACTAAATGATAGCTGCACCGCTAAGGCACTGTGGAAGAGAGCAAGACGAGGAAAAAGCAACCACCTGCGGCGCCACTAGTGTCTAGTACTATCGTCGACACCATCTCGCTTCCCGCCGTCCCAGGGGGCTGTTCTAGCACTTGGGTTGTTTTCACTTGCACAAGCGTCCCGTTGCATTTCTCATCATCTTGACTCGAGATTCGGTACGTTAGCGACGATTATCGTCCTCGGCTTATACTACCTCAGCATCCGCTCCCCGACGCGACTTCGTATTCCCCCCAATTCCGATGGGCGTTCGTTTCCCCACGCCTAGTTCTTGACTAACTGGTCCGCTCGCTATTCCAGGCCAACACTCATCATTGCAGAGGCCAGGGGGAGAGAACGGGGGAAATCAATCACACTGGAATAATATTTGAGAGAGACGGCCGACACCTGTTCCAGTTCATGGCAGACACCTTCTGGGTGCAGCCTTTTCTTGCCGGCCGGACAGCGTTCAGTATCAGACGTCCCCTGAGCGCGCGCCCTTAAATCGCAAGCGATCGCTTCTACGACTCGGCCAAGCAACCATGACGACTGCACTCCCAAGGCCATCGCGGCCCTCGGTTGGACCGCCAAATATGGCCCTCCCAGCGCTGCCTATATCGAAATCCCGAAAGAGCACCGGCAATATTCCTACGCCCAGATCTGCACCAAGCACGCCTGTCAGCGGCCTTCGGGCACCTTCAGCATCGCATCTTGTCCAACCTTCAAGCCCGTCACCGGTACCGGCACTACCTCAACCGAGGGTCACCGCGATTGCGAATTCGACGGCCTCAAAGACTCTGCGCAAGGCTGTGAGCATAAACTCCTTCCCCCACCCTCCCAGGGGCGACAACAGGTCTGGGTCCAGTCTCCCGCCTAGTCCGCGGGCAAGCGACAGGCCTCGATCGTCTCGAAAATCAAAGGCCCCTAGGGAATCAATGCGTAACTTTGATACTTCTACCCCGAGTTTCCTTAATGGTAGTGCCGAAGGAAAGTCAATTACCAGCGTTCGTATGTCGGATGGACTGGTTAGCGTTATTTCGGAGCCACAGAGCAGAAGTTCGTCGGCACAGGACTCTTATTCTACATCCGCGACGACTTACGACGAACCTGGCGACAGTTCAGCATCTAAAACAGACGGGGCCATAGGCGACAAGCCAGCAGGCAAGCATGATGGCAAAGGCAACGTCTTGGTGAGCGTCAGAGTGAGGCCCTCAACGAATGAGGGTCATGGAAGCCCCGAGGGCGAGTGGATGGTTGACGGCCGCCGATCTTTGATTTCGTATAAGGGAAAGGAAGGCGGAAATTATATTTACGGTTAGTTCATGATGACTTCGGAAGAGCGAACTGAGAATGCTGACGATTCGGCCTCATGGGGCTTCTAGATAATGTTTTCACAACTCACGACAACAATTCTCGTGTGTACGATCATATTGCGAAACGATTAGTTCGTAGGGTGATGGAGGGGTATCACGGCACGGTGTTCGCGTACGGTATGACAGGAACAGGAAAAACGTTCTCGATGCAGGGAACTGCTTCGTCTCCTGGTGTTATTCCGTTGGCCATCACCGACATTTTCTCATACATCCGCGAAACCCCGTCCCGCGAGTTTTTGCTTCGAGTCAGCTATCTGGAAATTTACAACGAAAAGATCCATGATTTACTGAGCATGCCCACGGCGAGTTCAGTCGGCGGTGCTGTTCAGCAGGAGGAGATCAAGCTGCGAGAGGACAGCAAAAGAGGCGTATATGCAACGCCTCTGAAGGAAGAAATTGTGCAGAGTCCTACCCAACTACTCAGAGTCATCGCGCGTGGAGATCAAGCTCGTCGAACCGCGAGCACACAGTTCAACGCTCGAAGTTCTCGAAGCCATGCTGTCGTTCAGATTGTGGTCGAGAGCCGAGAGCGAATGCCAGGAGGACCTCCTGGAGCCGAGACAAACAAACGCTCAGGAATCGCTCCTGGAGGTGTGAGAGTATCTACTCTTAGTCTGATTGATTTGGCTGGCTCTGAGAAGGCTGCAGAATCCAAGGAACGAAGACAGGAGGGTGCGCACATCAACAAAAGTCTGCTGACCCTGGGAACTGTTATTTCAAAACTTTCAGAATCCAAGGAGGGCAAGGGTATCGATAAAGAGGGGAAGCATTTGCCATATCGTAATAGCAAGTTGACACGCCTTCTTCAGGGGGCGCTGTCTGGCAATTCTCTTGTCAGCATTCTTTGTACCATCCAGATTGGTGCTTCAGGGACCGCTGCAGCTGTTAACACCCACACCGCCGAGACGCTGAACACTATGAAATTCGCGTCGAGAGCCAAAAACAGTATCGTGAGCCACGCGAAGCGGGCGGAGGAGTCATTTGGAGCAGGAGGTGATGGTGGTGCTCGAGTGTTGTTGGAGCGTTACCGGATGGAGATCCAAGAACTCCGTGGTCAACTCGAGTCTCAGGCTAAGGACAAGAAAAAGAAGAAGAGCGATGAGTTGGAGATTGAAGAAAAGGACGAGAAGGTACGAGAACACCAAGCTGCTGAGCGTCACGAGGAGCAAATTCTGGAAATGCAACTCGCAAGGACTGCGCTGAAGGAGCGAATCGATCATCTCAACCGGTTGATTCTCAGCTCCAAGTCAATTGGAGTAAATTCAAATGGATCTTTGAGTGCCCTGGGTCATTATGGGCGATACTCGCAAGTTTCCTTACCTGGGTCTATTCGCTCATCAGTTACCACCACCAACGGAAGTAAGCTATTCCTAGAGCGGTCGTCATCCATGACCTCGGCATCATCAACTGTTGGCCGGCGATCGAGCGCCGGAGGTGCCAAGGTTTCTCCTCGGTTATCAGGAGAAGGCACAGAAGCCAACTCCACGGAGGAGGAAAGTATGGGTGAGTTCGGAGATGGAAATGCGTCGCTCAGTGCCCAGAATCGGGCTCTCCAGGCGGATCTGGTCGATAAGAACCGGTATATTGCAACACTGGAAAAAAGGCTACTTCAAGCTCGTAGAGCGAGCACGTCACGTACTTCGGTTGGCATCGGCGCATCGACCAAAGGGATAATGGTTGGAGAAGACCACAGCGTTTCTGCTGTCCTCAAAGAGAAGGATGCAGAAATTGCTGCTCTCCAGGCACGACTAGACGACAAGGATCGTATGTTGGCAGCGCTTCGCAGTGCAGCTCGCTCACGCGACACTGCTGAAGCCCTCTCCGAGCCTCGGTCGCCCGTCTCGCAAGACGGAATACCCGACTTTCCCGTGGTCAAAATAGAACGGAAACCAAGAAGAAGGAGTGTTGATGAAATGAACAGAATGTTGGACGAAATGATTCAAGACGGGGTTGAGACAGGCCATATCGTACGGGGCACGCATGGCAGCGTGCGTCTTCCTGCAGGCCAGAAGCCAAACTCTCTTAAGGAGCCACAACACATTGAACCCTTGAGACGGAGTCCCACCCCATTGGGCGATAGAGCAAGGACACCCGTGCCGGAAGCACCTTGACGAGACACTGGTATATGAAAAAGAAAGAGAAACGAGTCGGCCTATATATGTCACGGGTTATCTAGACCGTTTTCAGTCAATTCGGAACCATTGAGATTGGGGAGGGGAAACTGGAGGAAATTTTGGCGTTTTTGGCATTCGGAGTGTTACTTGACACAGTCTGGCATTGTTTGCGTTATACCCGTTGTTTTTTTTTGTTGCTGTATTTTGCTATGTTTTGGGTGTGTATTATGGGTGGGATAGGCAAGGACATTGGTTGGTTGCCACATTCGATCCAATGATTCGGGCGGCGAGTTGATTGTTTGATTTGACGAGACTGACAGGGCATGATTGCTGATAGGAAACGGCCACATGAGACTCGGACTTAATTGTGTGTATTGTAAATAATATAACTTATATGTGTGTGTTTGTCGTATGCTTGTTTGCGAGCGGGTGCATGTTTGTGTAACTTCGTATGGATACATGCATCTTGAGAAATTGTCGGCTGAGGATCGAAAGCCCCTTTTCGGGTTTCTCTCTTCTCCTTATACTACTGATCTAGTTTCCGTCTTAATCTTCATCGCATAAACAAGAATCTTAGTGACACTATCGAGGCTTTCTTTTTCTCTATCCATTTTCTCAACCTATACGCCGTATTGATTGGTCTATCTAGGAGGAATAAGTGAATATTTCCCAGACGAAAAGGGAGAGGACCTCAGCCTCGAAATTCATGGCTTGATTTTGTTGTCCAATTGCAGTTCAAAGTATGATATGAGACGGGGGGGTGCATAAACAAGAATTGCTTTTTGCCGGGTCTATTGTCCTCTAATAATAAATAATCACTTACATACTACCTACATGATACGCATGCAGATCTCCAGATGCCCCTGTCTCTCGATTTCGCACAGTTGCGACGCTCTGGCTGGGAGATCGGCATGGAGGGCAGTTGGGCCCTGGCCGAGACATCGGGTTTGGGAAGGGGCGCTAGCGAGGGCGGTTATTGGTTTCACATCGTTTACGTGCATTGTAGATCGCATGAGCTGAGGGAAGCTGAAAAAGCCACCGGGAGCTGAGCGTGCGTGATGGTGTCATGGCTGATGGTAATGTACTCGGGTTCAGAGAATTGCACTTTCATCTTCTACGAATCCATTGTAGCGAGTCATTGCTGGGGGGGAGGAGGAGCTCCGAGTAAGTGTCTTTGTTCTCGGGTGGTCCGGTGTTGGTGGCGGGATCTACCTCCTGCAAGTTTTATATATAGCACGATGGAGGGCGGGTAGATAGTTGGACCTACCAACAAAGGCAGCCGATTGCGTGGAGGCCGTCGCCAGCGTCTTGCACCATTCCTATCCGCCGTGTGTGAAGGGAAGGCAAGGCATGCGAGTAATGGAAGGTCGTCAGTGGGTGGAATGCGGCCAGCGGGTACTGGCGGGCGGGGCCATTGTACCTGCGTGCCGAGACTCTAGCACCTGCCCACTTGCCTTTGGGACCCTGATTAGCATGTTACTAAGCACATGTAAAACTTGCCCAGAGTTGGAGCGGGATCAGAGGAGCCGAGAAGGAGGCAGGAGCTCATCAGGTTACGATGTACCTCCTTCTTCGTAATTGATGAGGGAGCTTCGGACCCTGCTAGAAGCGAAATCTCTGCTCAGGTCGACACGAAAACTGCATGCATCTTTCCGGGGCTCTTCTCGTCGCTCTTGGACCTGTTCTCTAGTGTCTTTGTCCCTCTTTGAAACCGAGACTATTGGTCAACTAGCAGCGCCTCGTGGCCTCGATCCATCCCTTTTCTGAGAAGCTGTCAGTCTCCCAGACGCTGTCGGTTTGATTTAACCCAGTCGTCTCCACTTATGGGGATCTTGGAATCGAGCAAGGTGCCTAGGGGGAGCCGCCTGGAACAAAATGTGCAGGGGGCTGCTCTGCGCTGATTGGCGCCATGGCCTCTCTAACGGTGTGCCGAGCGAAGATGAAACGTCCGGTCTGCAAGAGTCTTGGACCCGGACCACAATCTAACTTTTTTGGCAGGTCTGGCTATTGGGCGGGTATGCTGAGGACTGCGAGGCCGCGCTGTGCTATGCGCACTCTATGCAATGTCTGCTGGCATGAGACATGAGCCACCAGGCGTCTATGTACCAGAGCCGTGGGACCCTGGGCGACTCAATGGCCCGCGTCCCTGATCTGGAGCGCAGGACCAGTTTATCGCCGCCAAGTGACATCGGTACCCCGTCCACAAGACGATGCAGTCCAGCCCGGCTCTGCTGATTCTGTCGCCTCTGACTCTGTTCTGTGCCTCTCATCAAACAAGTCCCGCCCTTGGTGGCTTTTTCTTCTTCTCTTCGTCACTGTAGGCCTGCATCTGGATCGCCGTGCCTTCCCGCCTTCTCTTCTCTTCGGTGTCTATGCTTCGTCTAAGCGTCTTCTCCTTCCTTCGTTGAACGCTCATCCACACTTTGGTTGTCAAGGGCAGGTTCGCTTGACTGACCAGTGATGATCGGATGATATCACTCCCTCTATCACCCACCTGTTGAACACACGTCTACCTTTCTTTCTCTCGACAGTTTGGCCCGATACACAGGAGCAGCTGACTTTGGATTTGCGGGGTTGAACTCTGCTGCGTCGACATACGAGACAGGACTGGACACCTCCTGTTATTACGGCTGCGCCAATGCATGACGATAATAGCTGTCTCATGCACCTCATCTTTCCTTCATTTTCTTGATCCGAGAATCACTCTTCCGAAACCACGGGCAATATTACTGGACCAGCCGGGACCTGGGACAGACATTTCTGCTCTCTCTCTCTTTCTTTGGATTCCGCCCGGCAGCCACAGTTACACATCATTTCCCAGCACGGAGCTGGATTGTCGTATTGGCCATTCCCCCGAATCATTGCGTGGAGCATGCTTGGCTACTTCTCAACAACTTGAATCTCTTCAGTTCTATTCTCTTGTACATTCCTTCCTTTGCTTCTTCGCTTCGGTCTAAGCGCTGGACCCTCTTGACGAGTTTGTACCTTTCTCTTGTTTAGATACGTCGTGTCTATCTTCACATTCAGCAACCCACATCATTCATTCACAATGTCGAATACCCTCCAGGTACCAGGGACGACTCACGCAAAGGTGATTGTCGCACCCCCTGCGATCAACCTTCGACGCGCCGCTGCCTATAACGCACAAGATCGGGGACCGCTTTCCTCCTCATCTGCCACTTTCAACTTCAACCACTTACTTTTCTCTCCTCCGCCCTCGCCTGGCCTCCCTGCGCTTGTTCCTCGACGGAAGCGGAGGGTTTCGAACCCTCTAAAGGCTCGACCAAGCCGGCTCGCCCGGTTGACGTTTTACTTGATATCCCTTTTCATCGGTGGCTACCTGGTTGTCAATGCTATCCGCTCTCGTGGCGGAATAGATGGATTCTGGCTAAACAGTTCCAATGAGGACAATCAAATGTTGGGGCTTGATTCGATACCAAGATACCCCACGCCTTTTATTGTTCCGGATATCCAAGGCCAGACAAGATGGACAGTCTCTATCCCACCCGACACCAAGTTCCCGCCATCATCTCAGGAGATGATGACGATGAACAACCAGTGCCAGAAAGTCTCGGCACGAGCACGTGAGATGTACCACAAGGGCCCTCTTGCTACAGGCAGCTCTGACGAGTTTTTCTTGGACGTGGAAGAGGCGGAGACCCAGGGACTTCTACGAACACACCATGGAAAGCTCTCAAAGGAAACCGGAAGGTTTGCGGGGGTTGACACGGGAGCCATGAAGGGCATGTCGATTTGCAAGAAGTCGATGACCTTTGTTCTGGAAGGTGATGATGCTGGCCTGGGAAACACTCTGATGATGCTCTGGACATTTTACGGTCTAGCAAAGAAAGAGGGGCGGACCTTCTTCGTTGAGGACTCACGCTGGGCGTACGGGAAATATTCCGACGTCTTCGACAACCTCCCATCACCAAAATGTCAACCACCTGCTAGACATCACATGCTGCCTTGCCCATCCCAGGCACGACACCTGATTGTCTCGAGCTCATCCGCACAGGATTTATTCCCCGAATTATTCGCCAAGTACCGCCGCACATCAGGTACCAGCGATGAGGCCCGTGACCTGTGGGATCTCGCCCGGTCTGGCTATGATTCACTTTTTGCCCTTCATGCCGACGACAGTGACTACGTCGAGACTCGTATCCAGGATATGAAGAACAAGGCCATCACTGACTTCACAAGTCCCAACACACCCATCGTCGGCCTGCATATCCGACGAGGAGATAGACACCCCAAGGAATATCAGTACAAAGATACTTATATCCCAGCAGATATCTTCCACCAGAGCGCCCAGAAGGCTGCCAATGCTCACTTTGGAGATGTGGAGACCCAGGGGAAACCCCACGAGGCCCTTCTCGTTTTGGCCTCGGACGATCCTACTGTTCACGAGGAGCCTGATCTGCAAAGGGCTATGGTAGCCCAGGATCGAATCAAACTGGCATCCAAGACATCTATGACCCAGACACGCCAGCCTGTTGCATTCATTCACAAGTTTATCGAGGAGGCCTTTGGTTGGGAGGGCGGATTCTTTGCGACCCTTTTCTGGAATTTGGGAACAGAGAGCAAGAACAATGCCGCCAACGCTCCCAAGGGAGTGGAAACCGGCATCCCTGAGGATGTCTTGAGACGGATGGCATCCCCATCCGATTCAACTATGCAGTTGCGAGCCTTTATTGGCCGTGCTTATATGATGGACCTTGCAGTGATAGCAGGTGCAAGCGATAGCATAGTATGCGCTGTGAGTGCCATGGGTTGCAGACTCCTTGGCGTGATGATGGACTGGGAGAGTGGTGTCAAGGGCGGCCATTGGATAAATGTCGACCAGGGATATCAGTCTTGGCAAGGCATTGATTGGTAAAGACACTATGTTTGCTATAGTATTTTGCCCAAATAAAATCTGGCGTTAAGTTAATCCAATAAAGTTTGAGTGTAACAATGGTGATTGAGTCCTTGATGAGCGGCTCATGTATTGTGCTCCTTTGTATACATTGATTGACATAAGCCGCATACTAAATACTTATGAGAAAGTTGGCCTTGAATCAATGAGAAGTTCCCATTATCACCTTAGGAGATGATGACATTTAACAATCAGTGCGTAACAAAGGCTAGGTTCAGATGTCGTTCAATGTGGCACTCGGCTTGCATTCGCAACTCAATTTAAGTTTACCATGCCCCTAAGCTACGGAATCATCTAAGGCTTAGAGTTCACAAGTAAGAAAAAGCAAGAGCCTTTTTCGGTAATGAGCATATAAATAGTAGTGTTTGCCAGCCTTTTCGCTTTTTCCCTCCTGAGTATAAGTGAGAGGTGTAGACTAAAGTGGGACCCACAAGTGAGTAACTGCCTGCAATCGATAGGCCAAGCTGCGGCTCAAGCAATTAGAGTGCAACTCCAAGCTCTCACGCGTTTCTTTGAACTCTACAAAAACCACATCACCCACGTCTCCTACCTCAGATCACGACCAGACCCGAAACATAGCTCAACAACGAGGCCGGAGATTGCAATTTTTCATCCAACATGCCCGGCCCTGATGGCGCTCCGGCGCCACCAAGGCCGCGTCTGAAGCTCAACCCCAGCCGGTCGTCGTCCTTCGCCGTGGACTCGAATGCGACATCCCTACCGTCGGCGGGAGGAGGAGGAGCAGCAGCAGCAGCAGCAGCAGCATCGCCAACCGTCATGACCCCGCGAACCGAGAGCCAGCGCAAGGTGACGCTCAAGATTCACTCGTCGGCGCCGCCGACGCCCTTGGAGCCCCCCCCTCCGACCAAGACCAAGGCCGGGCGGCAGCCGAAGCCGTCGCAGAAGGTGGTCGAGAACAAGAAGCGCCCGCTCGAGGACGACGAGGACGCGCCGCTGGCGGCCGCGGCGCACCGCCACCACCAGCCCCCCAAGAAGAAGCTCAGCGTCGTCCGCCCCGTGATCAAGACGGCGGGCCTGGGAGGCGGCGCCAAGCAGCTCCTCATCAAGCAGAAGGGGCGGCCGCCGGTGCACCCCCCCGGTGACGGGTATGACTCGGAGGCGAGCGACCGCGAGCGGGACCCGCACATCGAGGAGCAGCTGGTGCTGCGCATGATGCCGGGGGAGCACGCCGACTACGTGCGGTGGTGCATCGAGAACGGGAAGGTGGGCGTGTCCAAAGCCCAGGGCGGGGCGGACCTGCAGATCAAGTTCTTCGAGGAGGACGGGCGGCGGGCGGTGGTGGTGGTCAAGGGCCAGCCGTACGCGGCCGTCATGGTGGACCTGCCGACCATCACGGAGGCGATGAAGACCTGGGACCGCAAGTCGTTTATGAAGTCGGCCGACATTTGCCAGATGCTCCTCGTGTTCCAGAAGGTCAAGAGCGAAGAGGAGGCGAAGAAGGTGCCGCTGCCAAAGGTGCTCGAGGGGAACAGCCACTTCAAGTGGCCGCACGGCTTGACGCCGCCCATGCACGACGCCGTGAACCGGAGGTTCGCCAAGACGATCAGCCGCAAGGAAATTGAGGACAAGGAGGCCGAGGTCGAGCGCCTGCTTGCCGACGACGCTAAGGCCGCGTCGACCAAGTGGGAGTGGGTAGACGACCGCCAGAACGAGGGCGACGAGGAGGAGGAGGAAGAGGAGGAGGACGCAGAGGGCGAGGTGGACGAGAGCGGCTTCTTCGGCACGGACGCCGGGGACGACATCGCCGACGTCGACCTGGAGGCTGATCTGGAGGCCGCCTTTGCGGACGAGTTCATGGCCGAGACACCCGTTGCGGGCGTCACGGCGGAGACGCCCATGACGAGCACGCAGGTCGGGACTCCGGACGTCGTCAAGGACAGCGTGGAATCCGAGGAGGATGAGGAGGAGGAGGAAGATGACGACGACGACGACGATGATGACGATGACGATCTCGACGACGACGAGCGCGCGCAGCGGGACGAGGAGCAGGGCATCAAGGACATCATCTCCGACATGCAGAAGCAGCTCGCCCAGCGCCGCGCGGACTGGGAGAAGACCAACAACCAGATCCTGCGGTCCCGTATCGAGGCCCAGATCAAGCAGCTCAAGTCTGAGATTGAGCTCAAGATGTCGTCTATCGGCATGGAGATGGATGATTGAGTTACTACTCAACACTAATTCACGTCCTGTAATAATGGACGTTGTACCGTTTGTCATTTAGGGGTAGGGGTTACGACAGTTTCCACAATGCTGTTCTCTCTCGCCTGTTTCGTATTTGGAGTTGCAGCATGGCAATGGTAACGGATAGGATTTCATGATAGTCACAAGGCGTTTCGGAGTCAAAGTCGGAATCGACAGAAAACATGGCATTAGGTTTTATTTCTTTAGGCGGGTGTATCTGTGATCAGCTAGAGAGAATGCTCGTCAAAAAAGACGGATCATACCTTCAAACTACAAAACACAACTATCTTCTCCCATGAAAGTACAATCACTCTTTACTATTTGCTTCAGTTATTGAGCCTCTCAACATTTCCATCATTGTTCTCTTCTCATGTTTCACCAGCATATCCTGGACTATATCGATCACATCTTGCCACTTGATATCTTTGCAGAATTCCGCAAGTGACCGTGGAGGCGGGTTCGCTAGCCTTCTATTCCGTCGAGCCCAACGTAATAGTGCCTTCTGTATGCGGACAGCGAGATCCGGATCGCGCTTCGACTGTTGCTTGAGATAGCTTGCGGTGTACTCGGCATCACTGAGGATAGTGGCCTTGTGGTCGCGGTGCCATCGACGAGTCGACTTGATTGTTTCGACAACACGAATAGAGACGTCAGTGACAGCCTGTTTATCATGCCCGGCTTGTATAAGTTCTTCAACACTTTGATCCATCGATGCGCCCCAGCTGTCTTGGCTGTTAAGTGAATATCCGCGGTGCAAAGACTGTGTCTGGGAATCAAGTGTCGACCTGGCGACTGTGGTGGATTGAGACTTGTATCCAGACTCAATTATCGAATCTGCCAACGTCGGCAACTGGTCCAACTGCCTCGAAAGCCCATCGAAAAGCTCTCGGAGTTCTTTGATCTCGTGCTGAAACTCAGAGATGAGCAACTTGGTCTCTTCCTGGCATTTTTCGAAATCCGCCCTCAGTTCTTCCGCTCCCTTCTGACCGCCATCGACCTGGGACATGTGTTGCTTCACTGCCAGCATTTCTTGCCATAGCTTCTGTAGGCGAACCTCATGCTGTTCTCGGAATTCCTTGTCCTGGCCCGTGGAGTGTACAAGTTTTTGCAGATCCCGTTGTAGTCGATCAGTTTGGGCACTGACTTGCCGGATACTCAATTCGAATGTCATCTTGGCAAGTGCTTCAGCGCGCGCGATGGGATGTCTTGGTGGGATGGGGGTTTGTGCCGGAATTGCAGAAGTGGACGTCGAAGTGCTCACGGCAGCAGCCTCACCAAGTGAATCGGTTGAACCATTGTTGGCGACACTCTTAGGAGGCAGAGAACGTCGTCTTGTGGCTCTCACCATCTTTACTACCGGGAAGCTGGTAATACCGATCTAATTGCCCTTTGCCTGATCTGGGTGTGTCGGTTCGTAGAGTTTAGAAATAGGCAACTGGTCGCTGCTGAAAGTCTGCACATGCAGCTAGCATCTGAGTTTCAGTACATTAGTCGCTTCGGCAGAGCTCAAATCGGGGTCGAGTAGACATGACGAGGAAAAGAGAGCCGAGGTTGAATTGGACGCCGGCAGAGATCTTTGGGGAATGAGATTTAGGTACCATAGGTAGGAGCAATTTGGATTAGGTACTTCGGTAGATATCTAGGAAGGTATCAGGTAGGTATTATGCATTGGTCTTTGAAGACCGCGAGTGTAATAGGAAGACTCTAAGCGAGCAGCCTGGTGCACGCCTTCCCTGATGTTGGATGAGTACCTGGGTACATTTGGGGATAACACCGGGAAGGTGCCAGCCGAGGTGCGCCTGCCTACCTACAAACTTGTTGGTTGGCCAAGAAGCTCTTTCCATCCTACCAACTCAAAAGAAAGGGCACAAGACGCCTTGTCGCTAAAATCAAAAAGGAAAAACAGAAGACGAAAATCCCTGGCCTCGAATGATGTTTTATAGACAATGATCCTTCATACCCTCACTTGTTTTCCCTTGGCAGCCTGGCCTCCGCTCCAATCTAAACTGGTCTTCCCCGTTGTTCGCTGAGATGCGATCCAAGACAAGAAAAGAGCAACATCCTTCGCAACTGGACCCGGCATAGCCATCTTCTGCATCCACGGTGGCAGCGAGCCCTTCGCATCCGACGTCGTCGCCATGACCCATTCAATGCCGTCAGGCGTCTCCATCAGTCGCTCGATGCTTGTGTAGGCGCCGCGCACCGTTTTGCTGCGCTGCTTGTCTCCGTTCAAGTCGGATGCCGCTATCTGGACGACCATGAACTTCCTCCCACCCCGAACGGCTGCTGTGGCCTGTAGCACCGGAAACACTCGGTCCTTGAACGGGGGAGGCAGTTGGTGCACAGATTCCTCCAGCTTGAGGGTCCAGTCGGTCCAGATCTCGCCGTCCAACTCGACCTCTACGTCCCGGCAGTCCCATTCCTGGTGCACGGTTGTGCCCAGAACCGTCGGCGTGAACTCCTTCTCCGCTTCGGAATGGTGCTCCTTGAAGCATTTAACCCACTCGTCCCAGCGGGCGGTGCCGGGGGCGGCACTGTCCTCATGTGTGCTGCGGCGGAGGTACCATTTTTCAGGTTGGAGCCGCCCTCCCTTGAGCTGCGGTAAATGATGTTGCTGGGCTAGCGATTCCAAGACATCGGTATGCACAGTACGGCTGTACATATACACGGGCGATTTAGACGACAGGAATCTTCTGCTGCCCATTGACTGCCATGCCGTTTTAAATGGTGATCGCTCGGGCGACGGTACGTTACTGATGAAGGGTGCGGCCTCGAGCAAGATTGATGAGAGGAATGGTGTCAGCTCATCAGGTGATGCAGAGACGGCTGGAAGCTGTGAGCTGTGAATGCCCCAAAGACGAATGAGGGGGCCGTATTCGAGGCTCATTGTGACTCTATTTGGGGTCCTGCCTGCTTCTGGCGGAATTTTTGCAAAATCCTTCACACCGCTCCCACGGAGGGCTGTCGCACATAGCACGCTGGCTTCGAATGGTGTTGAGGCTCTTCAACGCTGGTCTATCAAGACACTCAGAGACGATGCAGATGCACGGTGAGCGAGAGGAGGATCTGGAAAGAGCCGACAAGAGCCTCCCTGCCTCGTGACTCGGTGTCTCAAGTTGAAGTGCGGCATGGCCAGCATATTTCTGAAGTGGTCAATACCGTCATACCAGTGCTTTGCGGCTTCGAAGTTCCGAGTCTGCCGTTTGATCCGGACGCTGCAACATGAAATCGCAAGCCGTCGCCCAAAGCGGTTACTCCATCAGCCGTCGCCCCACTAATCGGCTCAATAGACCCTTCTTTTTTCATTCAGGAATTCGGTTTTCACTTATTATAATCTATTTGGGGTCCTGATCCCAGATCTATATTATCAATTTTAGTTCGGATGGCAACGAAATGCCGATAGTAGTGGTCCCATTCCCCCCTTTCCACCTCATACAACAATCCCCACTCTTCCACTCGCATTATCATTCGTCTGCTCTCGGGAAAATATGAATAAAGAAAGAAAAATAAAAGTCATAATCTATAAATTTGTCTAATCCCGTCTCTCATAACGAATCTTGGCAGGCTCCAACGGGCGCGAGAAGAGCGAGGCGTAGTCGGTGCCGATAAGGTTCCGGCTACCGTCTACATTGCTGAACTTGAATGCTCGCACCGTCTCGGCCACAATGGTCTGAAGCTGGACGTTGGCGAATTGCTCACCAATGCATCGATGGCGGCCGGCACCGAAGGGCAGGTAGGGGGAACCAGCACCCTTGCTGACGAGACCATAGCCGTAGTCGATCTTCTCCTCCTCCTCCACAGTCCCGTTGCGGACGATGCTGGGCGCGTTGGGGGAGTCGGCCTCCCAGCGGTGAGGATCCCACGCATCTGGGTTGGGGAAGTACTGGGGATCCGAGGCACTGACACCGGGGGCCGCGAGGAGGACGTGTGACGGGGGGATGACGTACTTGGTGCCGGGGACGGGCATGGGCTGCTTGACGGCGCGCATGATGGAGTGAATGGGGGCGTGGATGCGGAGGGTCTCCTTGATGATGGCCTGGTTCAGGGGGAGCTTGGCCAGGTCCTCGTACTGCAGAGGGGGGAGGTCGGCACCGAGGACTCTGATCTGCTCCTGGAGAAGCTCCTCCATGATCTCGGGGTTCTGGGCGAGGCGGAGCATGATCCAGGAGCTGGTGGACGAGGACGAGTGCTGGCCGGCCATGAGGAGGGCGATCATCATGTGGGCGACCTCGTGGTCGGGGACGGGAGTGCCGTTCTTGTAGGTCGAGTTCATCAGGTGCTTCATCATGTCGTGCTCCTCGTGGTCGTCGCCGTTGGCGCGGCGGTCCTTGATGATGTCCATGTAGATGCTGGCGACGGTGCGCTGGGCGTAGTCGCGCTTGCGGTTCCAGGGGAGAGGGGCCCAGTGAAGCATGAAGTTGATGGGGGTGAAGCCCATGTCCAGGTCGTGGTAGAGGGCGGCCAGGGTCTCGTCGAACCTGCTGCGGACGGCGCTTCCCTGGAGGGCGTGGGAGGCGGTGAAAATGGTGATCTCGGCCATCTTCTTGGGGATATCAATGATGCCGGTCTTGGGCTTGAAGTCGGCGTTCTTCTTGAAGTAGGACTGGACCTCGCCGGAGATGATGGGGACGTAGGATCGGAAGGCTTCGGTTGTGAGGGCAATCTTCATGAACTGCGATGAGAGAGAATTCTCGTTAGTATATCAAAGTTGCCAAATAAATTGATATTTGAAGGTGTTATTTACCTTCTTCTGCTCCATGAGCTTTGCGTTGGGACAATCGTACACGACATCCTTGCCGAAGACGGGGGTGGTAAGGACAGTGTAGATTTCCTCGGCGTTGACGTCCTTGAGCTTGCCGTTGAGGATGAAGTCATTGCCAGCCGGTCCGACGGCGACGGTGGTCTTCTTGCCGAGCAGGATAAAGGTAAAGGTATCGCCAAACTAGGAACTGACTGTTAGAACCAGACCGTACAATAGTTTTGGTGTTGCGATGTCTCCCATCGCATTTTAAACTTTCGAGGGAGGAGGGGGGGTTGGTTCGAAACTCACCTTGTCGCGGTTCTCCTTGAAGAATCTGGGGGGGTCCATGCCATAAGTGACGGTGCTGCCGATGAAGGGGAACCAGTGGAAGACCATTGGGGGCTCATTGGGGTTCTTGAAGAGGATCTGGCTGAGCACGTTGAGGATCACGGACAGGACGACGACCCCTCCGAACACGACGGCCACCTGCACACCGAGACCGAGTCCCAGGAAGTGCTCGGCCAGCGGATGGGCCGCCACCTCTTGGAGAAGACCCATGATTTTTTGCTACAGAATGTGAATTGTCGGGCTTGGATATTGTACGCGCACGACTGTAGCAAAAACTTGGGGAGAGAGTTGAAAGGAGAGTCGGTGTCGGTTTGTCGTTGGGTTGAGTTTCGAGGGGGAGAAAACCAAATATTAATTCTTAATTACACGGACGGCGGTCGCTGCTGGATTGGGGGTTCAGATCCCCCTCGGCTGGGCCCCTGGCCTAAAAGCTTGGTTCCTGGTCCGTGAGTGGCTGAATCTTGTTGCAATCCGCTGGGTCCCCCGGGCGGTGTGGGAGATCAGCCAATGACAGGTGGCCAATCGCCGTGACCCGAGATCGAGATACATCTCGTATTCGGATTCGTCTTGAGATGGCAGATCTAGGATCTGTGCTAAAATTTCTCCATTGGCAAAAATCATACCATGTTGACGCACTTTTTTTCGACAAACAGCCCGCGGAAACGGCTGCCATATCGTATCCGTCTCCCGCGTCCAGGGGAAGCGAATTCTAGAGGAGATCCCTGGGTGATACGTCAATATCCGAGGTAATCTCAGATCAGAATCGAGAAGCCTGCCAAGATGGTCTAAGATGGTTCAATGTTTATTCGATTTTTTTTGGACTATCTACCGCCCAGGAACTAATTGAGAGGAATATTCAAAAGCTACCAAACCTGATAACATGCAGTATAAATTCAATCTTGTCACTCGCTATCCATTGCCACTACTTGCCGGCGAAATGGATCATCTACCTCAAGACAGATATCATGACGGAGTCAACCCGCTCAAAAGTCATCATATCGAACGCTTGCAAAACGCCTCCTCTACACCTAAATGAGGTCTCAACCCGTCATAAAAATAAACCCCCCGTAATAATTCATGTTTCGTCACGGTGCTCATTTCATAGACTGCTTCAAATGGCTCGTCGCCCGCGACTGACAAACAAAGGTATCATATCGTCTCGACTTACAACAGTCGTATTCGTTAAGATGCGCTCCAGAAGACGAGCTCAACTGGAGGCAACAAGGCTCTTGCCCACAGCCCCCCATTTTAGTCTCCTCAGACCTCCCGAGGAGCTGCGCATCATTTCCTGGCCGCATGATGAGGTATCGTTGGCCGTGCTCATGCCGGCAGCAGCCAAGGCCTCCTGGCGCCCAACTTCTCTCCCAGTCACATAGCCGACTCCGAAACCAACCACCGAAACGAGGACGACAACGCCGGCACTGACAACCCACGTCATGAGCGTAGGCGAAACTAAAGCGTCTTCACCCACCATGACCTTCTTCTTTCTACTCGTTCGCGGACCCTGTCCAACAGATGTGCTTCGCTTTGTCTTGGTACCCCCTGTCCTCGAGGAGGATCTTGCACCAGGTACCGGCTTCAGTGGAGGGGTCAGTGGAGGGGCAACACCAGGCTGTACACCTTCCGTTGGCGCCCGGTCAAGCTCGGACTCCGGGACAAAACGAAGGTCCATGGGCTGGTTGCTGGGGCCGACACCAGTGCCTGCTGTCCGTGGCGTCTCCAGCTCCTCCTTTGCCTTTGAAGCGCCGCGCGCTGCGGCTGCACACGACAAGAGCGTGGTCAAGGAGGCCCGAAGCGCGGCATCGTTATCCTCGCGCGAGGGGGACATGAAGTTCAGCCTTTGAGAAGCCCTTGTCTGTGATCGCTGGGAGAAGGACGGCCGAGTAAATTCGTTGTGCGTGTGGGGTGGGATGGCGGTGCTGGTCGAGTTGCTTCTTTGAGGATGAGGGTGGGAAAATGCGTTTGGCTGCGGGCGGAATGCTGGGCGATCTGGCGCCCTGCCCAGCGCGGTTGCGTTGTCGCCATCCGACTCGCTGTCTGAGGGTTCATCTCGGGGAGATCCAATAACCTCCGGGGAGGATCGCGTGTTCTCGCCAGAGCTGATCATGAGGTGATCGTCCTCGCTTTCCGTTTCCTCGTATTCTTCCTGGCTGCTGTCGTTGCTGTGGATTGCGGTCGGCTGCTGGGGTAGAGATCGCGCCGATGCGAGGAGTCGACGCCGTCGTAGGTAGGGCGCCCCGACTCGCAAGCCGGTTGTGACGATCTCGTCGCCAATACTAGACAGCGAGGAGGAGGACGGTTGCGAGGACAGTTCCACCCATGATTCCGGGTTGATCATGGGTGAGCCCGGTGAAACGTGTAGGTCGGTGGCAGGCATCCCTTCGAAGCGTCTCTGAGAAGGCGCAACTTGCTGGTGCGACGTTCTACTCGACTGCGACTGTGATTGTGACTGCTGTCCGTGATGGGTTGCGTGCTCCTCCATGATGGATATTTCGCTTGGATATATGCGATAGTATTCTTAGGAATGGTGGTTGTGAACGAAGAACTATTGTTGTAGGTTCACGCGGTCGAGGCTCGAGGACAAAGCCGTCGAGTCGACAATGGAGGAGTCGGTGAAAGCCACCCCCGCGTTCTCGACTCCAGCGCTGCCGTTGCCTGCGTCACCCAACCAGAGACAAACAAAGGAGACCCGGATGCTGTAAGACGGAGGGGGTGGTTTGGAGACAAGAGGGCGGAGGGAGAAGCACTGGAAAGCGAGCTGGAGAATTAAAAGAAAAAGGAAGCGTAATCCGAAAGGGGGAGCCGTACAAAGCTGGTACGCGCAAGACAGATCGCATGTAGCGATGTCGGGGTTAACGTAATGTGTTGGGAAAGTGGTTGGGCCGCCCTGGTGGTGGAGAGCGGTGGGAAAGGGATAGTGCAGTTTGAGGTAGGTCGTAGGCACAGCAGCAAGGCGGGATGGACGAGGTGGATGACACACGGGGGATCTCCCTTCATCAGCCCACCCTGATAGACACGGCGGTAGCAGTACTTGCGTGATTGCACCACACGTGCAGCACCAGCGCATGACCACCTCACTTGCTCAACCACCGTGAGACATGCTCTGGGACACTGGCAGCCTCCAGCGCGGGACTCGAGGCCCGTCCGGGAACGTTATTGGCACATAGAGTTCAAGGTTTCCCCATCCCGGAAGCATATCACAAGCCCTCGTACAAGCCCTGCCAGAGCTGCTAGATGCCACGCTCTTTCTTCCAGCTACTACCTCTCCGGGTCTACTGCTAGCGTATGCTGATGCGCCCGTTGCGCCTGGGGCTAGTCGTGGATGACGCCTCTGCCAGCCTCTGACCACCCGCCTGTTCTTACCCTTCCAGGCCGCCTTGTATGTAAATGAAACCCCGACCCCCTTCCAGGCAGGAGGTCGCAAGCCGTGGCTTAGGGAAGGTAATAGCGCTAATGCGCCAACTGACTGCACTATGAGGCCACGGGCGCCGCCAAAGGTACTTCTACCTCCGTTGACCTTACCAGAGCAGGTAGCTGATCTCACTGATTGATTATCTCAGGGACCCAGTTGCGCATATCCATCCATGCTTAGACCAGCCTATAGATAGTCTGCGCAGGGAACACAGTCGTGCGCGCATGGGCCCCAGAGCGGGGTACTGAGCTGGATTTCCTGTTCATCCAACAGCGACCCTTCGTCATTGAGACCTGAGATGCAAGTCACGCCGTGAGCGGGATCCTAGTTAGTAGTTTACACGCAGAAGGGAGGGCTGCGCGCTGGGCTATTAGCAGAAACCTTAGGAACAGGCGGGATGAGCTCTTTTCCCCCAACAATCTCAGTCACACACCCACGCGCACACCATCGTCATCATTCTCACTGTCTGGAACCCTCCCAAACGTGAATATCATTCGACTTTGGCAACGGCTTAGCTAGCTCGGGTTGCCCATTACATGACATGCGAGACCCTCCACTCGCCCCCTGTTGCAGGCAGAGAGATCATACATGCATAAACGTAACCGCATGATTTCGCTTCGTCGGATGTTTACTTGCCCTCGCCCCCTCCCGCACCTCACACACAGGCCCCGGCTCCTACCCCGTAGCAGTACATATGTATCCCTACCTGTCAAGAGAAGATGCAACGAAAATATGTAGGATGGCGAGGTGATTGTCTTCCGCCGGAGAATATGAGTGGACAGATTAGTGAACGACGTACGTAGCACCGTAGCACCGCATCCAACGCACATACATACGCGCCCAACTCCTGCACAATCATAAGCGCATTTGTTCGTACCTATCGCCGGTGGCTTGGGCAGGAGCGAATCGCAGCCTGGTCTCGGTGGGTGCCTGTGATTTGGGATTGATGATGACTGAGATTCAGCGCACACGACCACGGCCCACTCACTGGCATGGCCCATTCAGCTACCTAGTAAATCCAAGACACGGCCCACCAGTAGTAGTTTATATGGGAACCAAGCCACGTTCATGGGTGCGCTCAGCCCGGCTGCTGATGCAATCATTTATCAGATACACGATTCACAGAGCAAAAGAGAGGCAGATTTCGTTGGATGTAGTGGATTCTATTCAGGCTGTTCTCTTCGATTACGGACCGCGAACGTGAATAAAACTAGGTATTGGGAAATAGAAAGGAAACGCAAAATACAATCAACTTTTCCCAAACGCCGGACAGTCTCGAAAAATGGACTGATGATGATACAATATGCCGGAAATGGAGGGCCAGGAATCGTGGTAATACTCACCGAGGCGGGAAAGTAAGCCAGAATTGATGGGTGCCAGGATACGAGAAAGGATTGGGGAGTTGGATGCGCCGCCGCGTCTGATCTGTCTGTAGCGTATGGGTTAAAAAGAAAGCCCCCGAAGATTCGTTCTTTTATGAGCCCCCAGATAACCCTCAAGAGAAGTAATATCAGGCCAGCCAAGACCTGGTGTTCAACCTCTCCCTCTCCACCATCATCATCTCAAGAGATGAGAGTGAAGATCTTGGGTTGATATCCAGGTAGGCCAGCCGCCGTCAGATCCCTCAGAAGCCAACTGGTTGAGACGAAACGAAGAATCAACTTCGTAACGCTCGTCTGCGTCCCACGTGATGCGATGCGTACATGATCAAAAAGCCACAAAATGCTCAGAGAGCCGGCCAGGCCGGTTCTTGAGACATGACACCCACAAGCCAACGGTTCAAGTAAAGAAGCCCCCA